CCCTATAATCCCCCTAACCAACCCTTTCAAGGGCCGTTTTAAGGGAACATAGGGTAATAGCAGCCCAGGTTTTCTTAGCCTTCGAAATCCGAGAAGCTCCGAGTTGCTCTTCGAACCCTCCAAGCCCCGAACCCTGCGACGGTGGCCTCGGCTGCTAAGGAGCTGCCCGTTGAGGAACAGGCCGCATGGAGGGGGCCTGCATTCCAGCATGGGGCGATTATACCCTGCAACCCCTTTTAAAACAAAAAGGCCCCTTTTATAGGGTTAGCTATGGGGAATTATAGGGCCTCATGGCCCATCCTGGTGCATTAGCTGTCCACTTGTTCTTCAGTTTTCATCCGATGCAAAAGGGTTGCAATGTGGCTGTTCTGTGGTGGGGTTTGGGTGTTCACTTGTTTGGGCAAGCCTGCCCTTACGATTCAAGTTTTAAATGGCCGTCCAGTTGCATGAGGATCGGCTTCAAGCCAGGCCATTGGGGATCAGGACCATTTAGGACTTTGAGAATGCGGGCTTCAGAGTGCTTGGGTTTTAGGGTGTTAAATTTAGGCCTTGAAAAGCGGCTCACGGGTTTCAGGCTTTGGCCTCATGCAAAGGGGACGGACATCAGCTCATGCCATTCTGCTTGTGTCGTTACTCTATGCTGGCCCACCCAAAACCCATATTCACCATACTCTAAACCTGATTCACCGATAGAGCATTCCTAAAAAACTATCCCTAAGCCCAATCCTCAAGCCGGACCTTTGCCTCGATCCTCCGCTATGTACTCTCGCTTTCTCATTCCTTGGGACCTTCGCAGATACCCGCGAAGTCGGCGAAGATTCAGGCGGGCCAGCCTCCAGCTTTCATGGGGCTTAGGAAGTTCCGGGTACAGTACTTATAACCCCAAAAAGAGCTGCACTTATCAGCCCCCTAAGTCGGGTATAGGTACAGTAGGCTACTCTACTCTAAGGAGGTCATAAGTAGACTTAGGACTGGGGTGATAAGTACCCATGAACCTCCCAGTCGGGTCTGCGAATCCAGTTTCGTGCATTGGAGCCCGACATCCCAATATTGCTTGGACAAATAGGGTGCGGCTTCTATTCTACTATTTGCTTAAGAACCCCAAAACGATTCTACTATTTGCTTGAGAACCCCAAAAAGAATCAACAACACTAATCCCTACATTGCCCTTAACAAGGAAGGACATTCTCATTTTTTCGGGGGTGCTTAAGCAATTAGTAGTATTGTGGACGGTGCGAGGGTCTTTGTGGAAAAAGCATGCTCGTTGTGTGTGGTTGTCCCTGATGGCAGCGCGTGCCCGCGCCAGCAAAACACACCGGACCAAACCAAGCGAAGGCACGCATAAACAACATACGCACAGCAGAAACAACATCTACCAACTCCAGTGCCCATGAATCGCTCAAGTAGAAACCCTCACAGAATGCACGTAGGGCAGCCCCCCGGACCAAGGAGTCTGGTTTGGCACATACGCCTACATGCACCTGCCCCGCCTATACTCAATCCCTACACTGCCATCTAGGCATCGGCGCCAGTGGTCTCTTCCTCCGTGGGGGGCTTGGTAGAATGCTCTGCATGCAGAAGAGCTCCGAAAGGACGTGGTGAGGCTGCCTTATGCAGCCCGTGTAAACGTTCATATTCGAAAGTAGGCACGAGCCCTGTGCACTATCTTGGGGTATCGGTTTGAGTCTGAACTTTGTCCCATGTCCCAGCTCCAACCTCACCCCAGCTCAGCTGCCAGAAGTGCTTCCGGTGAAGGCGAGCTATCCCTGCAGAAACTTTTGTTGAGAATTGGCCAACTCTTCAACTTGTGCAAAACAGAACCAATTCTTCAAATGCTGGTCCCTGAAACGGCCCTTTTGCTCGGTCCTTGAAGCTGTTCTTTTCGGGCCATATCAGCTCAGAAGCGCAGAATCGCAAAAGGGATTTGGGGGTGCCCAAAGTAGCCTCAACTTGCTCAAGACTTGGTGAGCCTGAAGCTCTGACATGCTCTGACAGGTCACTGGGAAATGGTTCACGTAGGCTAAACGTCCTCTAACAAAATGTCTTAAAGCTGTCCCAGGCGGCGCCTCGCTCACCGAGTGAACTGCCTGTGCCCACGGACAAGCCGTCACCGACGTCCCCTGCAGTCCTTGCCCCTGGTACCCTTGGTAGCCTTTCCAGCGGTTTAGGGTTTATAGAGTTTAGCAGGCCTGGGTGCAGCGTTTCGGATTTGTGTGCGCCTTCCGCTCTTTTTTCTCAATTGGCAAGTACTGTAGCGGATGTTGGGGCAAGTTGATCTTGCTTCCCGTTCTCCCCCCCTCCTCCTTCCTGAAACAACGAACAATCAATCAATCAATTTAATACGAAATTTCTAAATAGGATCGGAAGAGCTAAAATTATGAAAATAACAGCTTCCAAAATTAACTAAGTCGCATTGACCCCATTGAAGCAGCCAAAACCCGTTAGTATAAGAACACAGGCCCCGCAGCGTCCCTGCATGTAACCTTTTTCGGGAGTTCATATGCATTCTTTCAGCTTCAGATGTCTGTTGGCGGGCTCGGTCGTTACGCGACTTCTTGCTAGGCCTTCGGTTCAAGGTCCGATATTTGAGGTGGTCATTGGGTCTGTCTTTGTGGAAACACCCCCCCCCGAACCCTAAACCCTGAACCCTAAACCCTTTAAACCTTACACCCTAAACCCTAAACCCGAAAGCTTCTTCGAGACAGTCCGCAAGACCGCATGCATAAACCCGAAACCCGAAACCCTAAACCCTAAACCCTAAACCCCAACCCGAAACCCTAAACCCTAGAGACCAGCCCTCAGGTTCGACCAGACCTCCGGGCTGTAGGAGCTGCCGCAGGAGCCGCCGACTTAGCCGCGTTTAGCTGCTGGGTTAGGATGGCTTGGTGCTGGCAGGGTTTAGGGGTTAGGGTTTAGGGTTTAGGGAGAAGGGTTTAGGGTTTAGGGTTCAATCGTTGCACAAAGAGGCAATCTGACCGACTGGGGTGCTGCATACTTCATGAGTCTCCACCGACTCTCATCTCTGGTTGTGACAAGGTCCATCGAGGTCCAGCGACTCAAAAAGACCCAGATGTCAAGCTTCTGTGCGAAATCCGATGCATCAACTTACATCGGTTTTAAACGTGACATGAAATGATATTTGAAAATATTGATACTAAAGATATATAATTGTATATGTAGGCTTCTTTGACCTGGACTTCTTCGCCTGTCTACTTTCTTCATCGGAGCCGTGAGTCGGCGTGTGGGACAACAAGTCCCGAAGCCTCCGTGTCCCTACACCCAGTCCTAGGCAACACAAGGCCCAGGCCCCAAAGGTGAGCTACTCGTGTGTTGCATGTTGATCCATCTAAGGGGCTTTGTAATATGCATAGCAGAGCCTCCTTACCAAAGGCAATCGAAAACTCAACGCCCTCCCCCCCCCGATCCCTAGACCCAGGCTCTGGGAATGCTGGAGGCGGCTAGTGGTGAGTCATGGATATTTCTTGTGGTTCAGGGGCTTTTCAGGCACTTGAAGGCACTTGATGGCTTCACGGCTCCGGGTTTAAAGTTGCCCAGTTTGACGATGCGAATGTGAGCTGGCATGGCAGAGAACACCGGTCAGTGTGCGATTGCGGGAGCTTCTTGAGGGTGAGGCCGTGTATTCTATTTCATGGCTGTGTTCGATGGGTGGCGGAAGTGCTGCTCCTTGGGTTTGTGACCTGTCTGATGGGTGCACTCAACCTGTGCTGTGTCCCTCGGAAGCAAACACCCTTTGGGTCGTTCGTCTCGTAGCCGGTCACAGCCACTGGGCAGGTTCCCCTGTCACCGACTTCCCCGGCCTTTGAGGCGGGGTGTTTTTTGGGGTCTTAGACAGGTTTTTGTTGCCAGGGCCCGAACTTTCGGGCCTTCATGACCATCGCTGTCTTGGTAAGTATTTCAAGGTACTCGGGGTTTTTTTGGGGTTCGGGGCTGTTCAGTTAAACGCACCTTTCACTTCTTGCTTCTGGTCATTCGCGTGCTTCAACCCTTAGAGGCCGGGGTTTTTGTAAGCCGCAGCCCCACACCATCAGTCCCTGGAAACGAAGCCACTGATGAAGCAGGCGGCACCCCTTGAAGACGAGGAGCTGGAGGCACGGTTCTGTTAAGACATAGGCTTGGGCTTAGGTGGAAGCTTTTGCATCCTGTGTGGCTTCGGCTGTTGCGGTGTGGGTCTTGGCTACGGTTGGTTGGAAAGAAAATTGAGCCCTAAACCCTGAACCCAGAACCCTAAACCCTAAACCCAGATGCCAACAAGTCTTAGACCGCTTCGGAATATGGGGCAGGCCATACACCAAAATACTGAAACTGCCAATCCCCATGCTGTGAAAGCTAAAGCCTAAACCCTAAACCCTAGACCCTAAACTCTAAACCCTAAACCCTAAACCCCATCAGGTTCCGGAGATGCGCCCTATTCCTACGGTGCAGGAGTGCCGGGCCCAATTTTGCAGAAGGAGCTAGGTCGCTTGCGGGCACTTTCACGGGGGCATATTAGAGACGATGCCTCTAAGAACTGATCAGGGCGGCATGCCGCAAGCGCTGCTTTACAGGCCCTATAAACCCTAAACCCTCAACCCTAAACCCGAAACCCTAAACCCTAAAGAAGTTGCTAAGGACCTCGCCGGCAGACCCAGCTGTTCCGGATGAGGAGGAGGCATCTTGCCCACGATTCGGATTAGATGCTGCAGACTCTTGAGCTCTACCATAAGAACCCAGGTTTTAGGGTTTAGGGTTTAGGGTTACAGTAATGGGCTACAAAAGAGGCAGGTTTTGGGTTCTTACGCTCAAAAAAGGGTTCTGAAATCACACCAAGACGCCAAGACACAAATAGTCCAACTGCAGGGCATGGCACTGCAGGGGGCGGTTCATAAAAGGCCCTGAAAGAGCGCCTCTGAACTCTTCTTAGGTTTAGGGTTTAGGGTTTAGGGTTTAGGGTTTAGGGTTTAGGGTTTAGGGTTTAGGGTTTAGGGTTTAGGGTTTAGGGTTTAGGGTTTAGGGAGAGCTGCTCGTACATCCTTTTGCTGTGCGCCCATCACTTGGACCACACAATGCCCCCGGTCTAAATTTCACACCCCAAGCTGTCTGAGGTTGCTTCGGCGCCACCGGTGGATTCAGAGTGGGGCTTGGTTCATCCCTGATTCGTGGACCGCTGCAAGCGCTTCGTGTACCTACATGGGCCATTATACCCTTTAACGCCTTAAAAAGGCCCTTTATAGGGTTGGTTAGGGGGATGATAAGGCCTAATAGCTTTAATAGCCCTGTGATGGCACAATGTCCAGTTCGTGGGGTTGGGCGTAGTCCACCGTAGTCCACAAACACAAAACTCCTAGGATCTGGCGCCTCCTGTGATCAAGCTGAAAGACCAAGGGACTGTCTTTGCTGAGTCGGGTTGAACATTCACACTCTTCAACATGCCCCCTACCTCGCCTCCACAGGGACGGGCTGGTCCTTAAACTCTGACCCGGATGTCTTCAACGGCAGAACGTCAAGAGTAAAGAGAGCATCTGAGCGATTCTAAGTCCTTTGTGGCTTAGGGGGGTCATGCGACCATGAGGAGGTGGATGTGTCAGCTCCGAAGTGGTTAAGCACACTGGATTCGGAACGTGCTATTTCGAGCAACTGTGTCACCTGTTCTGCAAGCACCCGATTGATCTGAATTCTGGGCTCTAAACTCAGGACACCAAAGCTTGAAGTCCTGTGTGCCCTGGAGGTCAAAGCTACATCCCTTACAGCTCCCGACCAAAAAGTGATGTAGAAGAAGACTCACACGCTTTGCACGAGCAATTCCACAGCGCCTCTGCACCACGAGGCACCCGCGGAGCCAACCCCCACGGAGCTTCCAGTGCCTGTCGCGCTCTTGGTATTTCCAGCAATGTAGCGACTTCATATGGGGGTTTATGGAAATAAGGGTCCCCCCATATGGCCCTCCAAATAGTAGGATTCCCTTCGAATAAGGACCTCAAAACGGTACCACGGTACCCCTATACTTTCGGAAACCCCTTTCAATATCTCCGCGCATGGGGATTTTGCCGTCGGCTTGGGAGGGCCCTCGGCCGTGCCCGGTCTTTTACTATAGGGGTCGGAAGAATTGCCAATAATATTCCTTTATGGTCCCTTGATAAACATACAAAAGTCACCCCCGCAAAACCCTGTTCTAAGTATTAAGGCCCCGATATGACATGATTCCTCCAAGTTGAGAGCGTCGGCGGATCCCGAGTGTGTCAGTTTCGGACACTTGGTGGCTCCAGGTGCTTTATACGGTGCTAGGTGACGACAAATATTAGTGCATATTAGTTAGCTTTTGCATGGTACAGGTACGACTTGGGGTCACTGTTTCGTCTTTGCGCTTGAATGTGCGGTGGCCGGAGTAGCTGATGCTCATGATTCGTGCCTTTCGTTCGCTTGCAGTAGAGCGCAGTGGCCAGCTGGTGCTCATGATGCGGCCATTTCGCGTTTGCAGCTGAGTGCGCTAGCCACTTCAGGGGTGGCCCTTCGCAGTGGAGCGCGCTGGCCGGGGCTGCTGATGCTCATGACGCATGGCGGGTGGCCCTTCGCTTGCAGTTGACGCTGCTCATGATGCGCCATCTCGGGGGTGTCGCTTGAATTTGAGCACGATTGCCAGCTGATGCTCATGATGCACGCCTGTTTAGGAGTGGCCTTTCGCTCGCGGTGGCCGGGGCAGCTGATGCTCATGACGAGGGCTGGCCCTTCTCTTGAAGTTGAGTGCGGTTTTTTAACAGCTTCCCGGGCGCCCAATCTCCGCTGCAAACTCTTAAAACCCTAGCCCTTGCGAGAGAAGCCTGAACAGACCCACAACGAGTTAGCTTCCACATCAACATCGCAAAACTGCCCAAATCGGACAGCACCGCCTTGTAGTCAGGTTGCATGTCATGTAGCACGAATATAGAGCGGCCATATCGTGCCAGTTTCGTAAGCACTAAACCCTAAACCCTAAACCCTAAACCCTCAACCCTCAACCCTAAACCCCAAACCCTAAACCCTAAACCCTAATCCCTAAACCCTAAACCCTAAACCCCAAACCCAAAGCCTCAGGAGCCAATGACGGCAGTTGAGGCACCGATGAGGCCCGCCGTCTAGAACTCCCCAACTCAAAGCCCCGAACCCAAACGGTGACAGCTTGCTTTTTGTCTTCAGGCATTGAGGCCCTAAACCCGAAACCGTAAACCCTAAACCCGAAACCCATAACCCTAAACCCTAAACCCCAAACCCTGCATGTGCCAAACACTGAACCGCCCAAAGCTGCCCAAAACCAAACTCGACCCGAAGTCACGCCCTGCACTCAAAGCACTCGCCCCGGCAGTTTAGGGTTTAGGGTTTTGAGTTTTGGGTTTTGGGTTTAGGGTTTTGGGTTGAGGGTTTAGGGTTTAGGGCCCCCCCAACATCTGCACGTTCGAGGAAGCGCGCTGCGGAAGACTCCGAGCCGGAGGCTGGAGGCCCAGAGGATTCCGCCTTAAGGGAACCACACTTATCAAGGGGCCATAAGGGAAAGTTATGAGCAATCATTCCGATCTATTGTCAACGCCGATCCAGACTCTCTAGACGCATGTTTGTTCGGCTTAATGTGGTTCACTTGGAGTTCAGAGGCATCCAGCAGGTTCGTTACCACTGGTAGGATTCTCGCGCAGAGCACGAGAGGTCCTGGGCGGAGCTCCCGGCCTTAGGGTTCCGAAGCAGCACGGGCAACCTGCGCAAGATAGGGAAGGGCGACACTCTTGGTCTTGACTCGAAACCCGAAGTGCGGGGGCGACGTGCTCAAAGTACATGTACTGAGTAGCTAAATAATGTTAATTCCAATGTTCAGATCGAAGCACTGGACGCCGCATGGAACCGCCTCGCCTCGCCTCAACCTTCAAAGCCTCACAGGGGGAGCCTTGTGATGCCTTGTGCTGAACCTTGGCAACATCCCAGAGCTCCTCTAAGCCTCTCACACGTTCGACCCACTGAGACCTTTCCACCGCCCTTGGCCGTGCCGACGCGGCCGACAAAGAAGCAGGCCGTAAACCTAAACCCTAAAACCCCCTTTTTGAGCATTCCAGGCCATCCGAAGTTTGTGTTCGGTCAGGTGAAAGGGTGCACACGTGCGGGCTGTTTGGGTGAAGAGCCTGAGTATGTCTCCCCAAAACCCAAACATCTGCAATAATCTTTTCTTCAAGGAGCCAACATCGTGTATCCGACAAGAGGAAGGGCCTACTGAGATTTGGGTCGAAGCTGAGCACCGGATGAGACCCTTTCCTTTACCCAAGCCTCGACCTGGGCGGGCCTCACAACGAGGAAGCAGCTGTGCAAGGGTTGGAGAGACTGAAGGTTTGAGAGGCTTCCAAGGTTTGGAGAGGAGTCTGAGGCTGAACTGTTGAAGTTTTCATCTGCATTTCTAATAATTCTAAAATGGCTGTTTCAGGTTAAGTCCCTACCGTAGCGCTTCTGCGTCTTTTGTAAGAGCACGTGTTGCTTTGGAGAGTTGAATCTGAGCGCAACTCGAGATCGACAGGGTCGAAACGGACACGCCCGAAGCCGTTTCAAAGTTTGCAGCCCTGCAGCCTGTACCCCAAACGACCGAGCCTGAACACTCAAGGAAACTGTTCCTATCGAGCAACGATATGTCTCAAATTTTGAGCGCAGAGCCCTCCCTAAACCTAAGCCCTAAATCCTAAACCCTAAACCCGAAACCCTGAAAAACCCTAAACCCTAAACCCCACAGCCGACGGTACAACTGTGGAAGCAGAGGCGGCCTCACCCAGCGAGCTGCCGGTGCCCACGGAGAGGCCTTCGCCCACATCTTTGGCGGCTGCGGGGCACTGAGGTCAGCTGAGTAGAAACTCTCTAAAATCGGGTTTAGGGTTGAGGGTTTAGGGTTTAGGGTTTAGGGTTTCCGAAAATAGGGGTACCCTGTTGGGGGGTCGCTTTAAGGGGCTTCTAGGGGTATAGAAGGGTCCCCCCCTATATAGGCCCTAAAACCCAAGACTCCAAAGCCCGCAGCCCCAAAGGCCTAACGGCTTCATATTTTTGTTCAGGCCACCGCCAGATTCCGTGGCCTTCGAGGGATTGTAGTTTAGGGTTTAGGGTGTAGCGTCCCGAGTATTTTTCCGGGTGGTGTTCGCACTCGACCGACAGCGTGCACAGAAGCATCAAGCCGAAACAGCTGCGCGCGATGCTTCAGCTACCCTTGCCCAAGATCCAGTTACAGATGAGCCGAGCCATTTCAAAAAGCATCATTTGCGTTGGTGCTTGTTTTTGGCTTGAGTTGAGTTTGGGTTTTAGGTGCCTGTGGTTCAGGAGATTGGGTTTAGGCGAGGGGTGTGTGGATCGGGAAGATCAGGCTATGGGGTGCCTGAGAGTTTTTCGTTTGGGGACGGTTGGTCGGTGCACAACATTTCTTGACTTCGGGCTTTCGCTCAGACCCACCTGAAAGCTTGTACCCGAAGCTTCACCCTTTCCCCTGCGCCTAGAGGGACCTAAGCCCAAAAAAGGCCTCCTTAAACTCCCGAAATTGGGGGATGTTCCCCCTTTGCTCACAGTCCTTAATGTGGATTGTAGTACCCCCTGTTCTCATCCCTATCAAGGAGCTGTTAGTATAAGGGAGAACCCTAAACCCTGAGCCCTCAACCCTAGACCCTAAACCCTACACCCTACACCCTAAACCCTAAACCCTAAACCCTAAACCCTAAACCCCCAAAGCGCAACTCCCGGAGCCCAGGCTCTCACGGTGACGGTGGCGCCAAGGGAGCAAACTGCCACTGCGACGCTGACCAGGGAAGAGGAGGAAGAGGCACCCCTTTGTATACCCCAAATAGAACTTTAGGGTTTAAGGTTTAGGGTTTAGGGTTTAGGGTTTAGGGTTCTTAAAGGGACCCCCAACAGGGTACCCGAGCTGGGGGGCTGCATCTGGGCTCGGGCGGCTGGGTTAGGGGTTTCGTTTCGGGACTGTTTCGGGAGGTTGGGTGGTCCTGTCATCTGGGTCTTGGCCCCCTGTCCCCGGGTCCCAGTCACAACCAGGGGACACCTGCCGTCTGGGAATACAGCCCGCCACCCCCTACACAGAGCGCTAGATGGCACCGCATCAGGTCCCTACACGCGTCACCAGCAGGCAAGGTGGCAGAGTCCAGGCCACAAGCTTGAATTAATGGAAGTTTTGGCTTTCAATTTGTTCACCCCCCCCCCAGGCCATCTTGAAGAGAATGCATGGTTGATCGCTGGAGAGTCCTAGAGAGCGGCCGCCAAAGCCCTTTGAGTCGCATGTCCACTTAAGATTGGAGTTCGCATTGGAAGCCCGAAGGTGGGATTAGGGGTGTTCAACTGTGAGTCGTTTGGACTGCAGAACTGCATGCTAGCTTGTCTTACCGCCTGCTACAGCTCTGGCTAAACTTCACAGGCACCGATTTGCAGCCACCGGCCGCCCAAGCCCAAAATAAGCCCAAGCCGCAGCCCTTGCAATAAACACCCTCTGCCTGTCAGATGTGCCTCAGTTTAATCTTGTTGCCTGTCAGATGTACCTCAGTTTAAGGTTGTGGCCCATGGGTTGAGGCCCACCGTAGTCCGTGGCCACGCTTTCTTGCAAGAGGTGTCTGGGTAACCCAAACCCTTGGGCACTCCAGGGCTGACGGAGGTCAGTAGTAGTTTAGGGTTTAGGGTTTGGGGTTTGGGGTTTGGGGTGCAGGGTTAGGGTTTTACGGTATTAGAGTCACTAGAGGCGGTGGGTTCCGGACAATGTGGCATCCCACAGGTTGGGGGGGTTGTGGGTTTTCCACCCATTGCAGCACTCCCCGGAACCTCGAACGGCTAACCCAAACCTAACGTTGACAAGGCCGCAAGCGCACCTAGTTGTTCAAAACAAGTATTGAGGGCACCAAGAGCTTTGCAAAACTTAGTGCAAAGGGTTTAGGATTTAGGGTTTGGGGTTGCACAAAGAACTCGGCTTATGCATAAGGCCTCATCCTCGATGCAGCGCGGGGCCGAGAGATCTGTCGTTGGCTCTCTGCAGTCGGGGGTTTAGGGTTTAGGGTTTAGGGTTTAGGGTTTAGGGTTTAGGGTACCAAGCCGAAGGTCAAGCCTTGGGCGCATGGTCCCAACGCTTAATCCCCTAACAAAGGCCTAATTCAGACGCGCTTTGTGCCTCACGGGGTCCAGGCTAGAGCAGCGTAGTGGGGTCTCCTATCTTCGACCCTTGATGCCCCTGGAACCTGCTCAAATCCTAGATCGTGCATTAGAGTCCCATCCTGGACGTCTTCAGTCTATATCGGCCTCAGCAGCCTGAACCTCCAAATCCTAAAGCCGAGCCCTCAGCCCTCGACGCCCAAACCCATGATCAATCTTCTTCACCTCTGAGCCCAGATCAGAACGAGGGACCCGAGGACCCCAAGCTTCAGCTGGACTCCGGAACAAAATCATACCTGAAACCCAGGCACAGATGCCCTCATGATGCGTTGTGAAGGTTGAGGGTGTCTGGGTTTCTCACCCCTAGAGCCCAAACCCCGGATCAGGATGGTGAGCAGCAGCGCGGCACAGCAGTCACCCACGGATCGGATGCGTCATGGGGAGGGATTGGTGAGATGCTTACTACTACAACGATTAGGACAGCGACTATTGCTACCACTCAGGCCACTGCCATTGCTGCCGCCGCAACCGCCACCGCCAACACTTAGCCAACCACCGCCCGCTCCATCCCGACGACAACTACTATACAGGTGCTACTAGGTCATGTGGACGCAGATGTCCTTGTTGTGAAATACCTTGTTTTGCCTTCCACATTCTGAAACATTGAGCACCTTCTCGGCGTTTCAAGCTGTATTTTGTGGACCATGCAAAGAATGGCGCGTGTAGCACTACGAAGTGCTCAAACTAATGGCAGGGCCAGCAGTTTCAGACATTTCGCACGTTGGGCCGTCGCGTGGATAAGAAGTGTGAACATGCTGAAAGTACCTGTCTTTTGAGCCTATTGGCATGTGGACGGAACATGCACAACAATCCAGAACATGCTGTAAACGCCGGGCCATTGTACACGAAAAGCCAGAAAATATTCAAGTTGCTGCAAAACCCAGCGCGCTTGCATGTTCGCAGTATGAACGTTGAACTGACCCCAGCCCACCCACCCGAAACCCTGACGCTGGTGGTGAAGAACCCCCCCCCCCCCCCCTCCCCCCCCCCCCCCCCCCTCCCCCCCCCCCCTCCCTCCCCCCCCCTCCCCCCCCCTCCCCCCCCCCCCCTCCCCCCCCCCCCCTCCCCCCCCCCCCTCCCCCCCCCCCTCCCCCCCCCCCCCCCCCAAGAGGGCTCTCAGCAGCAAACCACACGAAAACGCGCACGCCAAAACTTCTACAGCTATTGCTGCTGCCACTAGGGGTCATTGCTACTACTGCTGCAATTGCTTCTTGCTGGTTCTAGTCGCCCTACACTCCCAACACGCACCAAGCTCCCTTCACAGCCATGTCCTTAAACGTTCATCCATTCTTTTGGGTCCATGCTCAAGGGTTTATGGCCCAGGTTTCAGGGTTGAGGGTTTAAGCTTGTTGTTGAAAAGTTTACGGTTCAGGTTGGAGGCTTGTAGTAAGGATTTCAGCTCAAGGGTCGGCGATTGAGGGCCTAGGCTTGAATGCAACTTAAGCTGTGAGTCAAGTTTAAGTGTCTGCGACGCAAGTGAACGTTACTAGCCCTCCCCTTCTCCCCCCCACGCGCGCACGCGCGCACACGCGCGCGCGCACGCGCAATCACAGGCATGGGCATTGGCCTACTGTTGTCCCCGCCGCAAGTCCCCCGAGCTGCATGTCAAGACAAGTCCCCGAGTACAGCACGCCACATGGGCAGGAGATGCCTGTGCCCACGGAAGTGCCAACACCCACCTCGCCCTGGGGTGACGAAGAGGAGGTGCGGCAGGTGTTCACGGGGCTAAGGGAGTTCATCTTGATTCAATATAGGGGAAGGATTAATTTCTAATAGCATTCAAAACCCTATTCTAATTATTACGACCCCTATATTAGACCTGCGACAAGTTTCACACTCCCGTCCCACAAGCCTCTCCTATCCGATTTTTCCAGGCCGAGACAGTCGTGGCAGCCACGGCTTTGCCGCCCTGGCCTCGTCCTGCTGTGAGGTTGATAGTACATGCAGGTTGGGATGTTCCCCCTTAATAGGGGTTATAGTTGCCCCGAATTACAATCCCTTTCAAGGAGCTTTTTGTATAAGGGGGGAACATCCCAACATGCAGGTCTCTAATCAACAGAGTTATCGAAGGTTGTTGGCGACCAAGCCCATGGCTCCATAGTCTTCATGCTACTCCCGTTCACCACGAAGCTATAGGCCGTAAAGGAGTTTTGCTCGGAGTAGGCTTCCAAATCTTGACCTGGCCAGGCCTGGGGAAAGAAGAAACTTGAGCCCCACCCCTCAGCAGACATGGGGCTGGTGTTGTCACGCGCGAAGAAGCTTGAACGCAAAGAAGCTGTCGAAACCATTTGGTGAACATCTAGCTTGAGGCCGACGCAGACCCTGGCCGAACCGGCGCCGGAGGTGGCAGAAACGGTTCGAAGGAGTTGTGGTTCGCGTCGGCTTCCCGCTCAGTAGCTTTGAAGCTTGGGGCAGATTCTGGGTGGTGGCATGCTTGTGTCCTTGTATTGCAACATGCATGCTCAATGCCGAGGCCCTGCTTCATAGTGAAGAGCCGCAGTCAATACACCCTAGGCTCTAGACTCCTGTGTTCAAAGGCTTTTGGACATCGCCGCCTAGAAGCGGCACGAAGTAGTGAAGTCGGCCGGGAGGGCTAGTGGATGAAAGTGGAGCCGGTGGGTCGTCATGCAGTCTGGGACCAGGAATGCTCATGAGCACAATGCTTGTGGGCCACCATATCTAGCAAATAATCTTGGGTGAAGCAGCCGGCGAAGCACGCTAAGGAGTCTTCCGGAGGATCTGATGGGACTGGACTTTCGGGTACTTTGGAGTCCGGGAGTAGTGGGCCAGTGGGTTTCAGGTATTCGGGAAGGGTAAGCGCAACACCACCAGACGAGACGTATGCACCACTGTTCTGACCAACTTGAACTAGGTGCTACGCCCCGCACCCTCAGATGCCTCTTCTCTGCCAATATTCCATACACCTGGCATGCCTTCATCCGGGCATCGCAACAAGTGTGTAGACTAACTGGCTGCTCAAAGAGACGAACTCGAATGCAGCTATGGGTTTAGGCGGCTTAGGCGTTTGCCCAGGAGACTATCTTGTCGAATACCTTTGACCCTATTTTCCACGCACCTTGCACTTCATCTTTATGCACAAAAGCTCGCATTTCAAGCCAGCCAGTCAAACGCAGGCTGCCCTAGATTCGGCTGTACTCTCAGCCCAGATGGAGCTAGACGCCCCGGGCTCAGGGTTGCTTGGGCTTTCAGGTTGCGCTCCGCTTGGGTCGGACATGCTCAGCTCCGAAATCGCGGTAAACTCACGAAGCCGAAGTGGCTGAGGTTCTTTGCCGACCCAGCAGTACATCCTAAGAACTGTATTGGGACGCGGGGAAGAAGAACACCCGGCAATGTTCCATGCAGATGAGAAAGAGAACCGGTGCTAGAGGAGGGACACTTCAAGTTCTTGGGGAAGGAACGGGAGCCTCTGCATTCCAAGCTATTCGCACAAGGCTCTTATGGTAAGCGTTGAGAACAAAACATGCTCAAAACACAGAAAGCAGGCTTGCGTCGAGCCAAAAATTTTCCCCAGGATATGCAGAAAGCAGCTCACATCGGATCCTAAGCCAATTGGAACGACAAGGAAGGCTTCAGTTTATGGTTAAAGAAGACCTTGCACCCCAATCAAGACTTTACGAACGGAAGAAGATGACGAGGCACACACACATCCTTGCGACCCATTCCCCAAAACCCCATATCAAAAATCCCTAGCCGAAATACTCAAACTCTGAACCTGCAAGTTTTTGCCAAAGCCCCTCAGCCCAGCAGAAGCCGTGAGATTGTCAACTCGAAGCGGCCAAGCCCCAGCTCTTCAACCGCTCAAGGGATGCATGCTTCGGAAGCCCGAAGCCCTAAACCCTAAAGCCTAAACCCTAAACCCTAAACCCTAAACCCTACTTAAGAGCTCTGTCGGCGTAACCTAGAGCTTCTGAAGGCCTAATTATAAGCCCGGTGATGACCGAGGTCCCTGCGCCACAGGAGTCCGCGGTCGTGGAGAGCGCTGCCATGCTGAAGCCTCGTGCTGTCTACGTCTGAATAGTACATTTATATAGAAGAAAAAATCGAAAAACACAATAGTCTAACAATACACACATACACATCGAATAATATATTCGTACATTGGTAGGTTGACCTTTAGATGTCTTTCGGTTTGGAGGCTCACGTTTTGCACGCTGTGCAATGCTTTTGGGGGGGAAGCAGACTGGAGGCTGAAGGGTTGGCAGTGACACCAAGGACTTGGGTTTAGGGTTTAGAGTTTAGGGTTCAGGGTTTTTGGGTTTAGGGTCTAGGGTGGAAAGCCGAAAGCAAGGCTTTGACAGCAGTTCATGTCGCTGCTAAGAGTTGTTGAACAGGATGCGGCATTGACTGCGAACAGGTTCGGGCCGGCTCGGGTGTCGTCGTACATTTTTTGGGAGGCTTTTACCTCGAATGTACGAAGCTTACAAATCTGCAACTGAAATCCCCAGACAAACATCAAGCAACTCCACCATCCTACCAGGATGGGCTGTTCGGCCCTAGAATCCCCAGAATCAACCCTGTAAAGGGCCTCTTTAAGGGGTTGAGGGGTAAAATAGCCCATGCTGGTACAGATACCCAAGCCCAAGCCTGCAAAGTCCATCGAATCCCAAGCTTCCCCCATTTCAGGTCAGAGTCGGCTCCCGAACCGCGGTCTCCCACAGACATGCCGGTGCGCAGCTGAGAGGGTGTTTAGCGCTTTTGATTGGCCTGATGGGCTTGGTTTGTTTTTGCACGGCTTTGCAAGAAGGTATACTGAGGCACCTGAAGTTGAGCGCTTCCATGGCCTCACGATTTGGGCCCTTGTTGTGGACTCTAGAGCTCAAATTTGGGGGCTCACGGTTTCGGGCTCAGGGTTTTGAAAGGGTCTTCTCAGGCTTGGTAGTTCTTTCTTCGATTTCAGATGGTTGTTGCATCGCCCCTACCCACCCAAAGCATCTTCGAGCCGTTTAGGTATCGTTTAGGTCTTCAAGGAATCTCGGTCGAATGCCGGGTTTCTGCTTCTGTGCGTTTGGGGCCTTTGGGGCTGCATAAGCTGCCCTCCTCAGTCACCATGGCCGCCTAGGTGCCCACAGATGTGCCGTCCCCGACGCCGAGCGCTGAGCGTGGGCTGAAGGTTAGGGCGACGCCTTAGGCCTGCGTAGGATGGTTTCCTGGCATCATTGGTCTTTGGAGTACTCAGATGTCTATCGAACATGACTTGACTATTGAAGCTCCATTTCTAAATTGTTCTTCTCCACGCTCGAAGTGGGGGCATGAGATTTTAACCCAGCTACCCTCTTCGCACACGCACCTCCCGCAATGTTGGCCTCCCGTGAGTACAGCCCCCTTCCCCCCATGAATACAGCACCACCCTCTCCCCCCGCCCTGATTGATTCAATCTCTCTGGGACGGGGCTGGAATTACGAATTGTTGCCCGCGATTTCTTTTTATAGCTGAGGGGGTGTGTAATTGAGTTCCGGGGATTTATTTGCCGGGGAAGGGGGGGGGGTCATACATGGCAAGTCAACATGACTCCTCGACGCCCAGTACAGCATCCCAGGAATGCCCAGCCCCAGACAGCCCCCGCACCGGCACAGCGGCCCACCAGCATGGGCTGCTATTGGGCCTTATCATCCCCCTAAGCAACCCTATAAAGGGCCATTTTAAGGGGTTATAGAGTATAATAGCCCATGCAGGCACACCCCTCCCAAGACCCCCAACAAACGAGTTGAATGAGTTCAGGTCCTTTGCCGGCGAGGAGCGCACCGTCATGGAAGAGGACACTTGATCGCATAGACATCGGCCAATGTGGTTCAGGGTCGACGCTTGAATTTCCGCGGCTGCACAATCATAAACCACGATCGTAACTCTAGACTCCCCCGCCTTCGCCTCCCATGTGCAAGCCCATCCTAAAACCAACTAGGGCTTGCAAAGCCAAACAGGCAGCGACCACCGCGCCACCACCCACGGCACCCCCTGTGGCACTGGTGGAGGAAGCGTCCGAGACGCAGTCTGTGCCGCAACATCAGGTGTAGAATGTTGAGCTTAGGCTTGGGATTTAGCATTCAGGGCCTAGATTCGCCTAGACTCGTGCTTAACGCTGAGCTCACTTGGCACTCGTGGCAATTCAGGCTGAGGAGGTGGTTGCAATCGTGGAAGGAAATTTTCCTGCAGCCAAGAAAACGCCCCAAACCCTAAACCCTGAACCCTAAGCCCTGAGGGGTGCCAATTCGCTTGTAGGGCTTTGCGGGGTCACAGGCGGTGGAGCTCCCAAAAACGCTCAAGCCCCCAAGCTCGCAAACTGACAATAGCCTCCACCAAGTCTGGAATCCCTCTCAGAACGGCAATTTGAGGAGCTTTTCGCAGTTTCTTCGACGATTCGAGGCTTCGAGTCTGAGTGATCCCTCCTCCAAAGCCTGAGACCCGGCCACCTAGTCCAAAATTCTGAATCCCCCTAGCTTTTGAACCCGAGGAAGATAATCCACTACAACTGCAACTCCGGACTTTAGGGTTTAGGGTTTAGAGTTTAGAGTTTAGGGTTTAGGGTTTAGGGTTTAGGGTTCAGGGCTTTTGAGGCCTCCAGATGCCGACTTCCCTCCACCAATGCCCGAGTCAGCGCCCATGTCATCGCGCGGAGCCCAGGCACGGAGCGAAAGACCTGGAACAGAGGGCTCAGTTTAGGGTTTAGGGTTTAGGGTTTAGGGTTTAGGGTTTAGGGTTTAGGCACTCTGAGTCGCTGCTGATCTGAGATGACAATGTAATCAATTATAACGAGCAATACACAAATTCACACATCACATCATTTCCTTCACTGCAGAGTCAGCTGACACTCCAAAAAGTGCTGAAAACGACCATTCACCCAAAAACCCACATGTATTTCAGCATTCAATCGAAGCACATAGAGGTGATTATGCATTATTTCACTTTATGATGGAAATGAATCAACATTACATTTTATAACGTTTTTTCAAGTAATGGTTTGTATAACATGAATACTATATGGTATAATGAAGGTCACAGGTTAGTTGTCAGGCCTCAGCGTTCACCTGGAGGTTTGAAGTGTTTCGACATCCATATCAACATCCATAAAAGCAGGCCCCCACCCACCCCTCCCCCCCCCCCCCCCCCTACCTGCCTGCCCCCCTAAACCCCCCTATCGCACCTTTTCTAACAGGGGCTTACTTTTTTGAAAGAAAGCGATCCCGAGGTCTATGGTGGCATCCTCGCCATCTGTGGGGTGCCCGGGGCAGTTCTTCACAATGCGATCTGGGAAACGGAGAAAGGGTCCTTGCCAAATGCTACTGCTTTGCCAAGAAGAGCCTGCAGAAGGCTTGGGATGTTTAGGGTTTCAGGGTTACTCCGAGCCTACTGTCTCTTTGGCCCACGCTGTGTGTGTGCGTGTGTAGTAGGGCAGGGGGCAGGGGGGTTGATTTCGTCATTTGGATTGCGCGCCCAATAAGCAGCAAATCGTGGCACCCAACATGCTTCTGCACCAGGCACCTCCCTTGGTAGAGGGTCCGGGATGCTCCAGCACAAGTGGCTAAGACCCCGGCGAGAAAGCAGCTTAAGGCAGTCCAAAAGCATACCTCACCAACCGCCAAGCTCTGAAGTTGTAAAACCCTACAGTGCCCTAAACCCCTGAAGCCCCCGACACCAGCCAAACACTTGAACCACAAGGAGCTCCCTGTGCCAATGCTCCCGGACGAGGTGGACGGGGGGTTCAGGGTTTCGGGTTTTTGGGTTAGGGTTTAGGGTTTATGGGGTGTGGTTTGTTCGTGATGGGGTCCGGACTCCTTGCTCTTTTGGTGGAGCAGGGTTTTCTGCTTCACGTCTTGAGGCACAAGGGCTTCCAGGGACGCTGTGGGAATGAGGTTTTTTTCAAACGGAGTCTGTGTCCGACCCTTGCATCATCAACTGCCGCCCTCAGCTTCTACTCCAGATATCCTTGTGCTGTTAAGCCCTCTCGAAACCATTGCTCGCAGCCTGCATGCTAGGCCCCCGACCCCTGCAAAAACACCCAACCTCCAGAAGCAAACTCGCTTAACATGATAAAGACAAATAAAGAACCCCAGATTCCAGATCCGACAACAGAGAGCTGCACAGATTTGGCAGGAGCCAAAGCATCACCTCACACCGCAACACAGCAATGCCACTTATCTAGGGGCCCTGCATAATTACAATAGGGTGTTGGGGATTGCTATAGTATAATTATAAAGGGACCCTTAGGGAATACTATTAGTAATTATTCCAACCCCTATACGAACCACCAAACCAGCTTTCAATGCTACACCCGAGCGCTAGCCAGGCTCTGAGGCCGATTCCCCCACCGCAGGCAGTTATGGGGATGTTTTGGGGACATTTGCGTTGTTGATTGGGATGTTCCCTCTTATACGATAATAGTCCGGAATAGGGATTATAATAGGGGGGTACGAAAATCCTTATTAAGAACTGTTAGTGTAAGGGGGAACATCCCAAGTTGTTGAGTTGGTTCGCGGTGCCCTTGTGGGCCTTAAGCCTTATATGTTCGTGTTCTTTCAAGTTTGTGTGTGCCTTCAACCGTAGTTACGGGTTCCGGAGCTATGGATTTGCACAGCTTGATTTGACTAGACTTGTGGTGGCTCCGGGACCCAGACTTTGTTTTGAATTTGGAACACCGCTTCCCTCAAATGGTTGGTAGTGCAGCAGATCCAGCCCTTGCTGACTTCGCCCATGTTGTCGCTGTTTTGCATCAGCTGGTCGTTTCTCATTGCCAATTTCGATCAAATCTTGCCAATCCCTCAAACCTAAAACCCTCAAACCGCAACCCCCAAACCCCAAAAAATCACGTGTTTGGTAGATTGTTAGTTATTTCAGGGCCGTCCATGGATGGTTCCACGCCCCTACAGCCTCATCTGAGCCCATAAGCGAAGCCAAAAGCAACCCCGGGGAGCCGATCTTGGTTGCGTTCAAGGGGTTTAGGGTTTAGGGTTTAGGGTTTAGGGTTAGGCTGGGATGTTCCCCCCAAGAGTGTACAACGAGATCCATGCCTTGAACCCTCCACCTGCAGCCCTCGAGACAGCCCTGTGGTTTCTTGGAGCCCTTTCAGAAGCCTTAGATCACTTAAATCACCGAACCCCTGTTTGGGGTTTAGGGTTTAGGGTTTAGGGTTTAGGGTGTAAAGTTTAGGGACTGATCACCAAAGGCCCCAAATGCTACGATACGCAAGCTCCCGTGGCTTCCCGGAGGCGACTTCTGCGCAGATGGTAAGCGCTGGGTCCACAGGGAACCAGGATGGGCCATTAGGCCCTATAGTCCCCATAAGCAACCCTTTAAAGGGCCTCCTTAAGGGGTTAGAGGGCCTTATAGGCTGTCGATAATCCCCAGAATCAACCCTATAACGGGCCTTTTTAGGGGCTGATAAGGTATTGTAGCTTTGATAATTGCCCGTCCTTGAAGGCATGTCATGTGGCCTTGCCTTGCGGTTCCTGAACGGTTTCTTGGGTACAGCACGGGAAAATGCTCCTCTTTTCTTTGGCTCTTTATCTTCAGGACTCGTTTCATGTTGAGGAGGTTGTGGCTAAAGCTGCGACCTAGTCAAGCTTCAGCAAGTCTTGAGAGCTAACGCAAAGACCCAGATCCCAAACGGTTTGAGGACCCTCTCCCCATGCCCACTTGGGTCACTTGCACTGAGGCCTCAGGCCCCATCGCATCCTCCTCGGTCTTGGCCCTGGGTCACGGGTCGCCGGGTTACAAAGGGCCAGTTCCCCAAAGGCAACGGCACAAAAAAGGCCTGGTGCAGCAGTGCCCTGAAGTCCAGTGATTCAGATAGGGCTTTGGCGCGATTAGGGTCTGGATTTTCAGGCCTCAGGACTTGCACCCTATCAAAAGGATTAGGTTCAGGAATGCGGAGGTGCAGTTTGAATACCCCTACGAATCCTTGCACAAAAGGTCAGAAAGGTGATTTTCTACCTGGCTTGCCAAACCTGCAGCCCAAGGGGTGGTCCTAAAGTGCCGCTGCATGCCGCTAGTAAAGGACTCACCAAAACTAGTCGTGGCCAGAATGTTGAGGCGGCCGCGCACTCACCCAGCGAGCTGCCTGTGCCAACAGACAAACCCTCGCCCACGTCGCCTGTGGCCAGGGTCTCAGTCCCAAACCCGAAATCCCTCAACCAGTCTTTTTGCATGACCTTGGGATGAGTAAGTGGGATGTTCGGGAAGATAACAAGGATCTTAAATTAGAAGCAAAGACCGTCCTTCGTATGCAAGCGACATGCCCCTGCTGTCGTCGTCGTCGTCGTAGTAGTAGTCATGAGGCGATGTTGCATTCGGGAGTTTTCCAACCAAGCCTTGGAATCAGGAAGGCAGCAAATCCCCAAAGCCTTGTCTCCCTAAAATCCTACAGATCTTACGTCTTGAAATTCACGACGCCCCCCCCCCCCCCCCCCCCAATTTCCGGTCTTTATTCGCAAGAGACCCAAGCCATCACTGAAGGCATGAGCAATGGCCAACCAAAATCTAAACCCTCAGATCCAAGTCCCACACCAACCCTGCACAGCCCACCAAATACCTGCAAGACTGCCCACTCCTTTAAACCATACCCCAGGAAGCCTGCAAGCGCAGCAATCGCATCAAAAGAGCTCCCGCAGCCCCTTAAGAGTGAAGGAAACCTCTGAGACCTCTTCTCTTGAAACCCTCGGGCCCTAGAGGCACCAAACGGCAACCTTGCAAAGTTGTATCTTACCTACATGGGCCATTATACCCTATAGCCCCCTTAAAAGGGCCCTTCATAGGGGTTGGTTAAGGGGGATTCTAAGGCCCAATAGCCCTAAACCCTAAACCCTAAACCCCAAACCCCAAACCCCAAACCCTAAACCCTAGTAGCCCATGCCTCCACTCCGAAGACATGCCACAAAGCAAGGTGCGGCCGGAGCCGATGCTGGCCACCGCAGGGGCCTCGATTCAGGTTGGGCCGTTTGTTCATTCATTAATATGATTATGAATATTCTTATTAATATTATTATTAAGATCATTAATAATTTTAACGCTACGCGACCCGCCTCGGCCCGGCCCAGCGCATCCGCGTGAGCATGGTGATTCCGCAGCGCCCAAGTCGCTGGACCCCAAGCAATAAGGGTTGGGTTTAGGGTTTTGGGTTTATGGTTTATGGTTTGGGGTTTAGGGTTGAGGGTTAGTTTAGGATGGAGGGCTTAGGGCTCAAGGTTCACGCTTTGGGGTTTAGGGTTTTTTTGGGTTTAGGGTTCAAGAGACGGTTCGGCTTAGATTGGGGGAGGGGGGTAGGGGGGGTGGGGAGCGGGGAAGGGGGGAGGGGGGGGGGGCAAGGGAGGGGGGGTTTGGGGTTGGGGGGTTTGGGCTTCAGGTTTCAGGTTTAGGGTTTAGGTTCAAGCTGTGAGCCTCGAAAACCCGCTGATTTGGGGAGGGGGGGGGGTGGGGGGCGGGTTGGGGGGGGGGGGGGGGGGGGGTAGGGAGGGGCAGGGGGCGGGGGTTGGGGCTGGGAGGGGCTTCATTGGGAGGATTTGGAGGGGGGTGCCCGTTCTGACAACCTGTACACCTCCGGCCCGAGGCCTCGGCGGATATTATTCTTGATATTATTATTGTTGTTATTATTGGTATTACTAATGTTATTCATGTTAGTATTAATATTATTTATATTTTTTACGATTTGAAATCTTTTTGCTATTAAAAATCTTGTTGATGTACCTTTCTTGAGGGTTGCTGCACCTTGTCGGTGCTGCGACAAGGGTCTGAACTCTTCTGAACACACCGCCTCCCAGGAAGAGATGCAAAACTGAAATCCTCCGATGCTGAACCTACACTCGAAGCCCTGAACCCCAAGCTGTGGCGGTTGTACGCGTCCCTGCGCATTGCTCTCCTTAAACTCCGAACGACCTAAACCCTAAACCCTAAATGAAGCCCCAAGCCCTTAAAGCCACAAGCAGAGGCGCCGCAGTCTGCGAAGCCTGTGGAGGCGCCTCGTCTGCCTCAAGGGTGTCCCTATGATGGGGGTTTACGGAGAAGTAGGGACCCCCCCAATTTAGACCCCTAAATCGTAGGATTTCCTTATAAGAAGGGCCCCAATGAGGTGCCCAAGGTTGGTTTTTTCGTGTGGTCGAAAGCTCATGATTCGGTCGAAATTCGGTCCTTTTTTTCTTTAAGAGGACTCGATCCTCAGAAGATTTAGGGTAAGAGAGTGATTGTTGTGATGCGGTTTGGCCGGCTTGACAAAGTGAGATGGATAAGATGAAGAGTCAGAGCCATCCAACGGATTTATTCGAGGACGGGGGTCGGCTGGGAAACCGACTGAGGCAACGGGCCAAGGAGCCCCGGCAAGCACAACAACTGCATAGCTACAGCCGCCGAGAGCAACAGATTGCGACGGCGACGACACCCAAAACAAGGCTTCGGCCACGACGACAAGCTAACGGAAGCAGCTCATCTGTGTGCACAATAAATGGCAGAACGCTGCCCATTCTGATCCCCAACATGTTTCGGTTGCTGGGGTGCTGCCCCTCCCCGCTCTCTCTGCCTTTGAAACTTCTTGGCCAACATGCACACAAGTGCAGCCTGAATCTGGATCCCCTAAACCCTAAACCCTAAACCCCAAACCCTACACCCTAAACCCTAAACCCTAAACCTAAACCCTAAATCCTAAACCCTGAACCCTAAACCCATGTGGTCTCCGGGGTCCAGGCCCCGGAGGCCACAAGGCCACGCAGGGTCGCATCGGCCTTGAGGCTTTGGTGCAGAGTCCTCTTCAAGATTTTCCAGCAAGCTTTTGATACAAGGGTTTAGGGTTTTGGGTTTAGGGTTTTGGGTTTAGGGTTTAGGGTTTAAGGATTAGGCAATGGCCATGAAGCCCTGTGAGTGTACAAGATGGAAAAGTCGTAGGATGATGCGCAATGAGGGTTCCTGCTCTTTAGCGTGTTTACATGTTCTGCAATGTTCCTCACTGTCCTGTGCTCTGTCCATGAGGCTTCTGCGCCAATCGTGTCATCTTCAGCGCGGGCCTTTCTTTCGGGTTCGGCTTTACATTCAGGTGTGGCTCAAGAAGCCCAAAGTGGTGAGGGTGGCGGAGGGTCCTGTGCGTGGATCTGTCTCGAGCTCTCCTGGTTCGGAAGTGTTTTGATTTCGGCCGGCATGACTGGCCGCCGGTTCAGGATTCGGGATTTATGATCGGGCTGCTGGCATCTCCTACAGGTTGCAATGCCCACAACACTCCCGGCCTGCAAGCCTCAAGCCCAAGAACAATTACCGTGACAGGCCGGGGAAATCAATAGAAATCAATAGACCACAACGACCAGGAGGATTGACCTTAAGGTCGCAGAGTCACGGCACTGCAGGAGTAGGCGTGTGGACTTACTTCTGTGTCTAGCGACTGTGGACCCAGTCCTTGAGGAAATCCCTGGGCTAAGTTGTTAAGTCGGAACTTTTTATCATAAGCGCATCTAATCACCATATAGCTGTCCAAAGGCCCTGCAACCCCCAACGCTCCACCCTTCAGCCTAAGGTGATGGAACGTACTTCCAAAACCAAACTCCAACAGGTTTGGGAGATTTGGAAGTGCACGGCCTCATGCGAGAGGGTTGAGGGCCGGTTGAGGTTGCCCTAAACTTCCCTAAACCGAAACCCTATAATCCCTCAACCCTCAACCCTAAACCCTAAACCCTAACCCCTAACCCCTAACCCCTAACCCCTTACCCCTAACCCCTAACCCCTAACCCCTACCCCCTACCCCTAAAACCTAACCTAAACCCAGTTCCTCTGGACGAAGCACTTGGACAGACATCTGACCCCCAGGCTGTCCCTGGTTCGCCCTCTGAGCTGCCAGTGCCTACCGAACCGCGGCTGACATTCCCGGGAGGGTTTAGGGTTTGTTGGGTTTAGGGTTTAGGGTTCAGGGTTTAGGGTTTAGAGTTTAGGGTTTAGGGTTTAGGGTTTAGGGTTGAGGCTTGGTAGCAAAGCAGCGCGTATGCCTTCAGTGCATGGAGACTAGCTTGAACCAACACCTGGACGGATGTGCTTGGGACCTGCTAATGGCCCATCCTGGTGGGCCATTATACCCGATACCCCCTTTAAAAAAAGGCCCTTGATAGGGTTGACTATGGGAGTCATAGGGCCTAAGTGGCCTATGCTGGCAGGTGAAGGGATTTCAGGGCTCCCTTTGCAGAGCCCCAGGACAAGCCGTCGCCGACGTCTCCGGCAGCCCCTGCACCGAGTTGGGCCTGATTTAGGGTTTAGGATTTAGGGTTTAGGGTTTAGGGTTTAGGGTTTAGTAGGTTGGGATGTTCCCCCTTATACAAACAGTCCCTTGTCATAGGGCTTATAGTAGTAAGGGGGAAGATCCCAACTGCGAGGCTTTAAAAGGAGGATTTGGCAGGGCGACTTTGGGGCTTTGGTTTGTGCAGGTTTTAGGGTTTAGGGTTTAGGGTTTAGGGTTTAGGGTTTTAGGGTTTAGGGTTTAGTGTAGGTTTAGGTTGAGCTGTTTTGTGACGGGGGGGATCTCGAGGGTAGGTCTCGAGTTTTTGGTGGTGTTCTCGGTGGCTGCTCGGGCTTTCAGGTGGAGAAATCGTCTTCAAGCCTTGACTCCACCATACATTTTACCCTAAACCCTAAACCCTAAGCCCTAAACCCTAAACCCTTATTGACATGGTCTTGCAGTGCTGATAGGGAGAGTATCGGGTCTCTGGGGCAACAGCCGGAACTTATCTTCACGAGGCACGGCCGGCGCTGCTGTTGCAGCCAGCAGCCGCACAGCCCTCAAGAAGGGCTAGTAGGCCTGATAATCCCCTAACCACCCCTGTAAAGGTTTTTTTTAAAGGGGTTAAAGGGCATAATGGCCCATGTACGTACCCTAACCCACGTTGAAACCCTCAACTCCATCTGCTTAAACTCGGAACCTCAGGTGACTCAAGCTTTTGACCCCAACCAAACGTGTTGGCCGCGTTCGTTGGCTTGAAGGCTGCGTTCTAGACTCTGTCATCCCTTCCCCCTCCTAATTTTTGATGTTTTTCAACAGTTTTTTTCCAGACCCCATCCCCTCCCCTCCCCCGCCCCGAAACCCAGCCCAATACTAAACCTGGCAGAGCTTGAGGTTGCGGTTTCTGGGTTCAGGGGGCAAGCCGTCAAATTAGATCCCCCGCGAATGTTAAATGTTCTTCCAGCCGGACGAAGTTCTACCTGCCTTTTTTTTTTTTTTGGGGGGGGGGTTTCGTAATAGGAGAAGTTGTCAATGATTCTTGCAGGAGATACTGGAGCATTGTGGCACTTTTGAGGAAGGGGGCCGTCCAACTTGGGTGTACCGTATGGACTTTGCCTTGCAAAGATCACGTCGCGATTGATCCTCTACAGCCCTGAACAAGCTACCGCAGCGCCAACGAACCACACAAGATGTTGAAGCCACTCTTGGGATGCTCCCCCTTGCACTAACAGTCGTTACTAGGGATTATTATAGGGGGTAGTATAATCCCTTTCATTCCTCCTCGTACTAGCAGTCCTTAGGGATTATAGTACCCCTAAACCCTAAACCCTAAACCCTAAATCCCTGGCCCGATAAAGGACGGTTGGTACAAGGGGGAACATCCCCAACCACTGTCTTTCAATGGCCTAGCATAGCCTATCTCCAAGTGCCCAGGTGCCACATTCGTCCGAGGCAGCCTTTTCCATTGTTTATTGTTTAGGGTTTAGGGTTTAGGGTTTAGGGTTTAGGGTTTAGGGTCCCAGCTCAGTTAAACGGGTCATGCTTTCTGCCAAACATCTAGAGACCATGTAGGGCCCAAGGGTTCAGGATTGAGGCTGCTCACAACCACGGGGGGGGGGGGGGGGGGGTCAAGGACATAAACTCTAAATAGCCCGAAACCCCCGAAGGTTCGGTATCTATCCTCCTCTGCAAATTAAGCACCGAAAGAACGGTCAGGAGGAGATATGCGCGATGTAGACCTTCAACCTCAACTATGGGGCCCCTCGGTTCTTGATCCGTGCCGGCAAACTTGTCTTTATATAAAGGGGGCCGCTACAAGACAGGGTCCAACCAACATCCCTCTGAAGCCCCAGTGCACTGATTTAGGATATAGGGCCCCTTTGGGCCCCTTTGGGGCTCCTTTGGGCCCCTTGGGGCCCTTTTGTGGCAGACGTCGTCTCACGGCACAGGCGCCAGAGTCAGCTGCGGCAAAAGCCTCGGCATCAGCCCAGACCTCAGACCTCACCACGGGGGTGCAGGTAGCCGAAGCCCTCAAAACTCCCAACGTAGGGTTTAGGGTTTAGGGTTTAGGGTTTAGGGTTTAGGGTTTAGGGTTTAGGGTTTAGGGTTTAGGGTTTAGGGTTATGCATCCAGGGCCTTCCGGGCTTCGAAAGAATTTGCTGTGAGGAGCCGTGGGCATCGGTAGTGCGAGTGGCATGCTTGTGCTGCTCCTTTTTGTTAGGGGTTGAGGGGATTTAGGTGGGGGCTTCCCTAAACCCTAAACCCTAAACCCTAAACTTTTTTTTCTGCCAGCGAAGGTCTGGAATGTTGGGTTTAGTTGCAAAGGCGCTGAGTCAACGCTCTAAAAAGACCAGGGCCTACACCTTGGTTCCTGCCCTCGCTCTTAGGGTGCAGGGTTTAGGGTTTAGGGTTCAGGTTTTATTTCTACAAGTTAGTTCGTTTGTAAGTGCACGCACGAAGCGAATCAAACATGGAAGCAAAAGAGAGCGGGAGAAACGGTACTATTCTTTGGTTGGGCGCCGGAAGCACAGCTTTCCCGAAGCAAGCACGCGTTCACTACAAAGATCAAAGAAGCCTGTGACCGCGAGATTGAAAACAACTTCCATTGCAAGCCAACAGCTGACCCCAGTACTCATGTCAGCATGCATTCTGAACTGCAGGCCTACCGTTCGCTTTATGGCCGAAGCATGCCACACCGAGACCTCTGATCTGCGTAAGTCCCACGAGATCCCACGAGAAATCTGCATCCCCTCAAGCTCTCCCCCAAAGTGCAGAGGCTGTGATGGACTCGGCGGCACTCTCGTCCGGCAGGGACCCTAGCCCTTGACTGATCCCAGGGCCTAACCTCTTTCTTAAAGGGGACCTGGAGGCCTTCTGGCGAGGGTTTGCAGGGATGGTTGCTTGAGGCCGGGCTTGAGGGTTTGAGGGGTTTGAGGGTTTTGAGGGTTCGGCATCTGAACAGCTTCAGAGTCTTCATTAGGAGTTGAGTTGAGTGGCTGGTGCGCTCGCTGGCCGGTTTGAGCTCCCCTAGGAGGCGCGTAGTTAATGCAACGTAATCACAAAAGCTCCGAACGAGACCCCGGAAATCCGAACGCTGCCCCAGCGTCTAGACATCGACACCTGATTCCTTCGAGGCCCGGTCCTTGAAGCAATCTTTAAAATCCTTGTACCTACCTGCTGGCTCTCAATTAAAAGGACAAGTTGGGCTGTCCATGAGCTTCCGACATAGCTTCACAGTCGAGCAAGACCCGAACTCCAAATGCCCCGACCATCGGCCCTGACTACCCTAAACCCTAAACCCCAAACCCTAAACCGTCAAGCTCTAAAGTAGCTTTTATGCACCGATGTGGTGCTTTACGATATTAAGGGTACCTCATTATTGGGGTCCTTATTATACAGGAATCCTGCTGTTTGTGGTCCATATTAGCCCCTGTCACTGGTCCATCCTAAACCCTAAACCCTAAACCCTAAACCCTAAACCCTAAACCCTAAACCCTAAACCCTAAACCCACAACATGAAGCCTTCCACATCTCTCCAGCACTTCCCAGGGCAGCTCGAGTCGCCCACGGAGATGCCGGTTCCAACGGACGTGCCGTCTCCAACCACTCCATGTGAGGACGAAGGTAGGGTTTAGGGTTTAGGGTTTAGGGTTTAGGGTGTAGGGTGTAGGGTTTGGGGTTTAACCCTAGGGTTTAGGGTTTACAGGGTTTACAGGGTTTGCAGGGTTTGCAGGGTTTACAGGGTTTACAGGGTTTAGGTACACTCCAAGTTAGCGGTGGTTCACATTCGCCAAAGCAGTTGCGGTTCCATGCTCCTAAAACTGTACGCTTGTGATGTTCCCCCTCATACTAACAGGGGATTGTAGTACCCCCCCCCCCCCCCCCTAATATAATCCCGTCCCTAACCCCAAGCTCCAACTCCCACTGTACACCCCCTGAACCTGCAAAGCTGAAATGCTAAACCCAGCACCTAGCCATGGATTCGAGAGTGATTCTTAAGACGTTGAAAGACTCTGCACCTAGCCAGAGATTCGAGAGTGATTCTTAAGACGTTGAAAGACTCTTTAGGATTCTCCAAGAGACACAAAAAGATCCAGGACGAACCATCTTCGATCGGCATTGTAATCAACTGTGGCGTTCAGTGTTCGGGTCTAGGCTTCCAATGGTGTGGGACCCCCCCCCCCCCCTCCCTCCCGTATGAAAGGCTCCCACATCTGCGTACTCTCATACACTTTTTAAGCCCTCCTCGTGGGAAGGTGAGACTGTCACGGTGCCGACAGCCGCAGCCCAAGAGAGTGAAGCAGGAAGTTGCAGGGAGGAATTTGCCGGCACTTTAGGGTTTAGGGCTTAGGGCATGAAGCCCCAGGGCAAGCGCAGGCTCAGTCTCGGTCCCCCTTACTAGGGCGTAGTTACTAATAGTATTCCCTTATGGTCCCTTTATAATTATACTACACTAATCCCCAAAACCCTATTCTAATTATTACGGCCCCTATAGTAGGCTTGATAGATTGTTGCCACACCCAAACATCTTGGGCTGTTCAGAGCTTGTAACTTCAAGAAAGCCGATGTTTGGATCCATGCTTGGGCCGAATCAATTGGGTTGAGGGTTTAGGGTTTAGGGTTTAGGGTTTAGTGTTTAGGGTTTAGGGTTTAGGGTTTAGGGCCAGCAGCTACCACCCGAACTCATCGGAAAGCCACTTGTCAGTGCCTCAGTGGAGTCGAGTGGTGCTCTTCAGCTGTGCCAGAGGTCGTCCCAACAGCTTATACACCCACGCGCACGGTCCCAGAGGCCAGGCAAGAGCCGCGATCGGTTTAGGGTTTAGGGTTTAGGGTTTAGGGTTTAGGGTTTAGGGTTTAGGGTTTAGGGTTTAGGGTTTAGGGTTTAGTCTTTTTGATCGAAGAAAATACAAGTGGCAGCCTCTGAACTGACGCAAAGCTCTAAAGCCCGGAAGCTCAACAAAATATTCACAAAAGCCCCAAACGCCAATTGATTCTTGCAGCTGTGCGTGGGTAGGAGTGTGCTCTAGCACGCGCACACGCCCACCCGCCCACACGCCCACACGCCCACACACGCACATGCACACACATACGCACATATGCACACGTGCATGCACACGTGCATGCACACGTGTGTGCACACATGCATGCACACATGCATGCACACATGCACACACGTGTACACGCACGCACACACACACACACACACACACACCCACGCACACACACGCACACACACGCACACACACGCACACACACACACACGCACACACACAACACACACGCACACACACACACACACACGCACACACACGCACACACACGCACACACGCACACACGCACACACACACACACACACACACACACACACACACACACACACACACACACACACACACACACACACACACACACACACACCACACACACACACACACACACACACACCACACACACACACACACACACACACACACACACACACACACACACACACACACACACACACACACACACACACACACACACACACACACACACACACACACACACACACCACACACACACACACACACACACACACACACACACACACACACACACACACACACACACACACACACACACACACACACACACACACACGCGCCCGCGTCACTCGCGCGCGCGTCACTCTACACTTTACACTTACACAGCCCGAGCCGCAGTTAAGGGCTAGGGGGGGGTAGGGGGTTTGGGCAACAAAGGGGTGGGCGGAAGAGGTTTCCGGATGTTCTTGCGGCCTTATATAGCAACTCTCATTCAGTCAGGCAACGGTTCCCACTGCCGAAACCTTGACGCGCACGTTCGTGGAGGCACCTTGGGGTTTAGAGATTCTTTTCCGAGGCTTTCGAAGTTTACTTGGTTCAGTGTTCGCCGTCTGTGAATGCAGCTATTTTGCTACCGTTGCCTTGAGTGAATGAAGGGCATCCGCCTTCAAGCTTCAAGGGCTTGGCGTTCAAAGGGCCAGGTGGGCTTGGTAAAGAACCGGCTGTGGAACTTGAAAATGGGGCGGCCCGAAATTAACGTTTCATTGTAAAGCGTTAAGGAGCAACAAACGACAAGGTTTTACAGTGCTTAATAGCAAATCAAGGAAAAAACGTAGATTCCAGTACGAATGTAGTACTTGCACAGAGCAATGACAATCCAGCTCACAAGTCAGAAGCCCTGAGACCTTGACTCCCAAAACCTAAGCCATAAACTATATGCAAGAAGGTACTTGGCTCTTGGGGCTAAAGTGGGGTTAGGGTTTAGGGTTTAGGGTTTAGGGTTTAAGGTTTAGGGTTTAGGGTTTATGGTTTAGGGTTTAGGGTACTTGGCTCTTGCCTGTGGATACTGTAGGCGCCAAAGGGGAGTTTGAGCTCGTGGTTTTTGGAGGGTGTCTTACTTGACCCTTCAGCCTTCAAACATGCAACGCTGCGCCCCGATCCCGATCAAAGACACCACGCTGACAATTAGGGTTTAGGGTTTAGGGTTTAGGGTTTAGGGTTTAGGGTTTAGGGTTTAGGGTTTAGGGTTTAGGGTTTAGGGTTTAGGGCAACTCAAACACACCACAACACCCGACTGGGCTAGCGGCGGTCTCAAGTTCAGGGTCTGGGGCTAAAGTGGTGTTAGGGTTTAGGGTTTAAGGTTTAGGGTTTAGGGTTTAGGGTTTAGGGTTTAGGGTTTAGGGTTTAGGGTTTAGGGCAAAAGTGGGGCGAAAGTGGGCGAAATTCACCTTTCTTGACCTGCCTGCAACGCAGGAAGGGTATCGGTTTTTGGTATTGGTAGTATCGCTTCGCCAGAGAAGCACATTCAACATGGAGGCATCGTCTAACCCCGAAGGACTTGCGCATGTCGAACCTTGGCGCAACCTTCACGAGCAATGGGCCTAAGCATCCACAACACCAAGCTGGTCAGTTAGACTTCCTTGATCTCACCGTCCAACGAGCGCCCAGGTAGCGCCCACGCTTGACACACCCACACAGGCACCGAGATGTTTTTTTGTTTTAGGGTTTAGGGTTTAGGGTTTTGGGGGGGGGGTTCTTCAGAGTGGTCTTTTGCTTCGTGCTTCGTGCCTTGGAGGAATTGTTTGGGTCTTAGACTCTTTGTGTTGCTCATTGGGGTTCGTACGCCTTTTCGGGTTTTATGTACGGTTGTTTTTTTTCGGACTTGCAAGGTGGGGCGCTTCGGGGCCTCTCATCGGGGATCCAACGGCTGAGGATTTCAGCACCCCTTCGGCACGGCTGGTGGTCCAAGGGCTTTCATTCTTCGGAGGAAGAATTCAGAAGATGGCTTCAACATGAACTGAAATGCGCCCTAATTCTTGGAGCGATGTGTTCAGGACTCCAGATGCTCTAATTTAATTGCTCACGCGAGTGCGTAGGTTTTCTGAGTTTTCTGGATATCTCGGGGAGCGAGGTCGGCTGGGCTTTGTTGGAGTTCAGGCGCTGTGGCACGACAACTGTAGCAAGGGAGGGAAAGTCGAAAGAAAGAAAGAGAGACAGAGAGGTCCGAAGTGTGCCGAGCAACGCATCCGGCAGGTCAGCCAATCAGCAAAATCTTAAACAAGAAAAGATTTGGGGATCTCCGAGCATAGGGGTACCTTTTGGATCCTTTTGGGGGGTCCTTCTCATAAGAGATTTGGGATCTACATTGGGGGGGGGGGGGGGGGGGTCCCCTTTTTTGGTAAACCCCCCATATGAACACGTTGTAAACAAAATATTTGAATGGTCAATAAGCCTTAAACTTGGACCAGCGAAGCCTCGGACTGACTGTGAAGTGCGCCCGAAGCACTAAAAAAAGTAGTCCCCATGTTGGCCTTGCTACACTTTATCTTGGTCGTACTTGGGTAGCATTTTGCAATTTTTAAGGGTACTTAAACCCAATAAGGATAGAATTTTAAGTTTTTAATACGATCCCAACCATGAACTAGTTATGATTCATCTAATACAGCCACTCACCTGAGTGATGCAGCACCCTAATTTTTTTAAAAGCAGACTTGAAACCACATCTCGGATTGGCGAGCGAGTTGAGAATCACCATCGGTTCCTGCTAGCCCCTTGGACCTGAAACCCAAAGTAGTTTCGAGCGCCTGAACAATACACCAACACGCGCAAACTCCATTACATGCTGCAGTCGCGGACTGTGCCTCGAACGTCGCGTGCGGGACCGCGGACAGTGCGGACAGCAACCTCCACGGTCAGGGGGCTGAGACTGGGCTTGGGGCTGCGTGTAATAAGCATCCCAGGACCTAGGATGGGTTATTAGGCCTTAAAGCCCCCCATAATGAACCCAGTAAAGGGCCTTTAAGGGGATCATAGGGTATAGTGTCCCATCCTGGTAATAAGCGTCATAAGCGAACAAACGTGACTGAACCATCAGAGTTTGGTTTGAGCTTGCGGTCAAAATTAAGAACCAGCACCTGTCCAGGATGTCTGTCGAGCTTGTCGTTCAAAGGAGGCCCCGTTGGCTCAAATCGTTGCCTAACCAACTCTCGACACAACATCCATGGTGCCTTTCATGGTTAAACCCTAAACCCTAAACCCCAAGGGACTGCAAGGGAGGATGAAGTTGTCAGCCGAAGCCTGCACCGAAAATTTCACAGCAAGTAGTGCAGCCTGGAACATCCTTGCATAATCCTGAAGAGCCCTATCAAGGCCAGTGCAAGGCAAGCTCCAGAGGAATCCCGAACCGCTCGACATTTCCGAGAACCGGCCCGACTCCCTGAAAATCCTAAAAGTAGTCTCGTCCAGGTACTGGTAGCCTCGAGAGTGCGAAAATGACCTTGCAGCCCTAAACAATCAAAGGCCGAGTTGCCCCGAATTTGCCTAAACCTTGGTTTTTACCCGACATGGCCGCAAATCCCTAACACCTCCAGAACCTTTGGGGGGGGGAGAGGGAAACCCTAAACCCTAAACCCTAAACCCTGGTTCGTGGGGTGGGGTGGGTAGTGGAGTGGTTAGGTGCCTCGCACGCTGCGGCCATGGGCGGCGCGAGAGCCGCGGGAGGCCTCCTTTTTTTTCCAAGGGGTCTTGGGGTTTAGGGTTTAGGGTTTAGGGTTTAGGGTTTAGGGTTTAGGGTTTAGGGATTGGTGGCTTTGAGGTCAGTGTTTGGGGGATCTTTGGCAGATGCGAGCCAGGCATCCCTGCCAGTTAGACTTGTTAAACTTCTGAGCTTCTGATTTGAATTCATCTCAACTGCATGTGTGGTATGAGGTAAGACGCCCCTTACAGAGAAGATTGCAGGTTTGAGTCCTTCCTTGAGGACTTAAGGAAGCAGTGAGCGTTGTGCAGCCTTGCTTCACTTCTGAAGACCGCAACCACAACGTCAACTCCAAAACACCAGAACAGCCTTTTGTGTCACTGAGACGGTTCTGCTCAACACCGCTGCGCACCGTCTTTCAATCCTGTAACAACTTTAACTTCTACATTTGGTGCTCACTTTTGTTGGCTTGGGGCAACTCTTGGAAATCGGTTGGGATCTCGGTGTTCCAGGGATGCAGGTCCTGCCAAAGTTTCGTGATGAGTTTGTACCTTGTCCCGGAGGACGGGGATTGAGGGCCCGGCATTGTGGTTAAATCGGCTTTGGCACTGGTTTAGGGTTTAGGGTTTAGGGTTTAGGGTTTAGGGTTTAGGGTTTAGGGTTTAGGGTTTAGGGTTTAGGGCCCAGGTTTGCTATTGAGGCAATTGAGCCGCATTGAACTCTTCGAGTCCTGTTCCCTTGTCCATGCTGAGACGCATTCACGAAGAGCCTCGAGGGCTGTAGGTGCTGTACGCCCCCCACTTAAAGCCCTAAGTTTTCGCGAAAGAGCTAAGCATCTTAAACTTGTGGCCAGAACACCCGCAAGACCCTTTTTGCAGAAGAGCCGTGCGTAACCTAAGACTTAAGGTTTCGGAGAGCACGCCGAAAGTCCCAGAACCGTGCAGCACAGGCGCCGACCGAGTTGCCCATTGAGGCTGGGACTCGTCCAATGCCAGAATCCCCAACCTTGCATGCCAAAAGTTGAGTTGAGTTAAGCCCGCACTTCAGTATATGAAGCGTCCTCACGTCACTGATATGCACCCGGGTCAGTCACACGCTGTAAGCCTTGAACCCATCGCATGTAGGTCCCAGCTGCGGTACCATCACCGACATCTCCGGCGCAGGCTTTGTCTTTTAAACCCCCTCCCCCCCCCCCCCCCCCCCCCCCGCATTCTCGCCCGGATTCCCCTAAACCCTAAACCCAATGGAGCCATTTCAGGGTCTTTTCCAGCCCTGCGATAAGCTTGCAGGCCATCCCGCCCCATACCGAACTCCCTGAATCCTTAGCGTCTTAGGGTTTAGGGTTTCGGGTTTAGGGTTTAGGGTTCAGGAGGGTCAGGTTTTGCCAGGTTTGCTGTGACCATGCGTGTTAGCTTTCGGCATTGAGCAACCCCAGCCCCATTCGCTCTCATTGGCGATTCCTGGGCAACGTTTTCCACGGTTTAGGGTTTAGGGTTTAGGGTTTAGGGTTTAGGGTTTAGGGTTTAGGGTTTCACTCTTTCCGCTCGATGACCTTCTTTCATGCCTGGTTTCAAGAGCTTACCAATATGTGGCACCAGCTCCGCAAGGCAAAAGTTTGCAAGAAACTATTCGGCACAAGTCTCCACGGCAAGTGAGAATTAGGGTGTAAGGTTTATAAGGGTTTAGGGTTTAGGGTTTAGGGTTTAAGGTTTAGGGTTTAGGGTTTAGGGCTTAGGGGGTTTAGGGTTTAGGGTGTAGGGGCCACACAAGAGCTATTCTGTGGCACTCTCTCCGCCAGGGGCACCTGCCGGAAGTGGACGAGGTTCCTTTGGGGCCACCCATCGCCAGAAGCCTGGACCGAGTAGAGCGCTCTCCGTGCGATGCAGTGGTATGCAAGAGAATGCAATGTTATATTAAATATTATGCAATGGTACGTATGACGCAACATTATGCAAGATTATGCAATATCACGCAACGTGTAGCTTCACCGAGAGGGATGTCTTGCAGGTTCACTAGCAAGGGGATGCCTTGAGGCTTGCAGCCTCAGGGAGCTTTTGCGTTCAAGCCCTTCATCATCCCGCAACCCTAAACCCTAAACCCTAAACCCTAAACCCTCAACAACCTGAAGCCCGGCGGCTCCCAACTTAAACCCTGCTGAGCGGGTTCGATGGCCTCGGAAAAACACGCGCGAGGCTTCCGTTTTCGCGCACACTTCCCACGGGCTTGTGAGGAGTGGCAGAAGTGATCATGAGGGCTTCGGGCTTAGGGCTTAGGGTTTAGGGTTTAGGGTTTAGGGTTTAGGCTACATCGCCAGTTTGACTATGTTCCGTGTAAGAGCACGCACCATGTCAGCGACACCCCACACGTGCCACGCGTGTATAAGAGAAGCGCTGATGTTTCCAACAAAACATCCATGTTGAGTTGTTGATGCCGGTCGTTTTTGCTCCCCAGCCTCCAAAGCAAAAATCCTCCCAGTCAGGTCGCAGCGCCACGCGGGCCAGTGGAGGCCCTTGCTATCAGCTCTCAGCTGCTTGGATCTGGGGGCTTGGTGAGTTGTTGGATGTTGGAGTCTTGTCGGCTTCGATAGCGGCTGTAGCGGGTTGCGCCTGCAATTGAAAGCTCTGAGAAGCCCCGCAACTCTCATAAACACCGCCGAAACACCCCCCGTAGCTTCCCTGAAAAGCCCGCCTCAGCCACTTCAGCCGCGTGCTTTGTCTGCTGTTGGCAGGAAGTCCCGCCAGAGCCGCCGGTGCCGCCGGAGCTTCCGCTGCCCCCGCCGATGCAGGTCCTCAAACGGGCGCCAACGCTTTGTGGGTTTGTTGAATCCCAAACAAAAACCACAAACATTCGGCTGCATGAAGATGTAGAGTTCGTCTTAGGGTAGGTACATGGTCCCTAAACCGTTAAACTTACTGGCTCAAAACCCAACTTTTCAACTTTTGGCTTCTTAAAAGGTAGTGTATTCTGAAAGTTTCAACATCTGTTTCCTTGGGTTTTGGGCCAGTAAGTAAAGGAGGTAAGTGGAACAATATTAGGCGGCCATGCAACGAAACCCTAAACCCTAAACCCTAAACCCTAAACCCTTGGAGTTCCCTAAACCCTGTTCGGCTGGTGTGGGGCATGCATCGCCTCGGTCTCGGGGCACCGGGTTTAGGGTTTGGGGTTTAGGGTTTAGGGTGAGGAGTTGGCCCGTGAGGATGAGGGCCCAAGGCCACGCCCTCAACCCTACAGTAAACCCTGGACGGGTTTAGGGTTAGGGTTTAGGGTTTAGGGTTTAGGGTTTAGGGTTTAGGGTTTAGGGTTTACCCTAAACCCTGCCCCTGGACCAGGTCTTATCGCAACCGAGGTCACCCACAGCACCTGAGATGCAGGCCGGGCGAAGGGGTCGGAACAAAATTACTAATAGTATTCCCTTATATTCCCTTTATAGTTATACTATAACAACCCCCAATGCCCTATTCCAATTGTTAAGGCCCTCTATTAGGGTTTTTTAGGCTTCAAGTTTAGGATCCTGGGACAGAGACGCGTGCCCGCGGTTTCTCTAATCACCTTATAATCCCCTACGCTGCCGTTCCTAAAACCTTATAACGAAGCTTATCGACAAGCCTTCTTCCACATCCATGAGCACACTCTCAAGCACTCATATCAAGGCCTATGTCAGTGCAGAACGTGGTGATCTTTTCAGGACTTATCGCTTTATGGACACTTCAGAAGACCTGCCAGGTGCCCACAGATGTGCCGTCGCCAACCTCCCCAGCAGCGTGGTGCCCAGATCCCCTATCAATGCAAACCTGGGAGCGCAGGGGGTATAGATGACCAATAGTTTCCCCCTAAACCCTAAACCCTAAAGCCCGAACCCAAAAAAACTATGTAGACCTGTTTGGTTTCAGACCGCAGCTCCGTCATAGCACGCTGTGCGCTGGTAAGCCTCAAGTTTTTAAGAGCTCAGAAGGGTACTGCACATGCCGACCTTAAACCCTCACCGAAGCCCCCTCCCCTCCAAACCACCCATCCCACCCCCCGACCCCGCATTGGGGTGTAGAGTTGATGGGGAAAGTTGACCCTTAGTTTGGGTGAAGTAACAGGGTGTAGAGTTTAGATTGCGGCGCCCCTGTCTGCCATGATTTTGCAAGCTTTAGCCTGGGTTCAGGGCTTATAGAGTCTACCGGGTATAGGTCTTTGCGCTAGTTGGAATTTTTCATCGAATCCAGGGTCCAGAGAGTAAGGGGAGGAGCAGCGAACCAGGAGCCGCGATCGCAGTATATTCTCTAAGGTGCATAGACCGTGCGGCAGAGCCCGAGCTTACCTAAGGAGGCAACACAAGCCCTGAACTCAAACCCTTAAGCTTGGCTTCGAAAGCTCCGGAGTAGTGGTCAGGTCAGCTCCCCGCCGGTCGAGGACGATGCAGAATTGGAGGCACTAACTACTGAGCTCCTTGCGTGGTTGTGGGTGTTCACAGACCTTTTACGGCCGAGAGGAGAAGAAAATTGGCCCAGAGTAAGCATCCGGCCGAAGTGGTGTGAACTCTCATGGCCACGACACCGAGCCATCAGAACGCCCAAGACCCTGCAGCTGGTTGATTTGCGGACCAGGAGAGTCCCAAGGCAACAAACCGGAACTGGCAATATGCTTTGGGGCCCCTGTTTCTGAAACAACAGAAGGTGTAGCGTAAACTGCCAGCAAGCTTTCTGCCACACATAGAGGGAACAATGCATATTAATTATGTTATACATAGACATATGTGTGTGTATATTTTAAGGGGCTGCGCCCATGGGCGGGCAGCGCAGGCAGAAGCGCGGGGCGAGCAGTTTCTAAGCATTTTGAGGCCCCTAAACTCCCTTAAAATCTCTAAGCGTTTGAGGCTCCTCAACCCCCTTAAAGTTTCTAAGCATTTTCAGGCCCCTAAACTCCCTTCAAATCTCTCAGCGTTTGAGGCTCCTAGACTCCCTTAAAGTTTCTAAGCACTTTATAAGGCCCCTAAACTCCCTTTTTCCTAGCCCCGGGCTTAGACACGTCGCTTATGCCCGCCCTTTGGGGGGCATCATGCTCCTGATGCGCCCCCGGGGTCCCGCCCCGGGAGCCGCTGATGCTCCTGATGCGCGCCTGGGTCCCGGGCTGGACCCGCTGATGCTCATGATGCGCGCTCTCTGGGGGCTTCCGTGGCGACGCAATGGCGACGCAAAAAACCACGAAAAAAAACCGTTCACCGGCGGCACGCGGGGGTCGGCGGCACTGGCGTCCGGCCTAATCCGGCCCCCGCGCCGCCCGTGGTCCAGGGCGGAGCCCGCGTCGCACTAAAGCGCTAGCTTTAAGGGGCGAGCGCCCGAGCCGCCGACCCCGCCCAAAATTGCTTCAAATTCGCGCGGGGCCCTTCGGGAGGCCTCCGAAACGGCATCCAAGGGGACGCAACACGCGGTGGTGCGAAAAGCACGAAAACCTCGTAAAAACCATGGGTTTTTACGAAAAAACCGAGGCCACAAAACACCCGCAGCACCCCATTAAACCCTCACGGGCGCGCATCATCGACCCTAGCTTTTCACATGGGGCGCGCGCCAGGCCGAAACCACGTTTTTCAAGGTTTGGGGGGGGGTACCGGAAGCCCAAAACCAGGCGAGCATCATGAGCATCAGCAGCCCTGGCCCGCGGCCCCAAGGCAGTGAAAAACGCTGAAATCACCGTAAATACCGTGTTTTTATGAGGTTTTTCACGCGTGCCTCCGACCCCCACCCTTGTTGCCCTTAACCCGCCCCCAAAGTGCGCATCATCGAAACCCACGTCGGGGGGGGGGTCGGCTGATGCTGCTGATGCGCGGGGGTCCGGGGCATCATCGAGCCATCGTTTCTCATGTGGGCTTCGTGGGCCTCCGGGCCCACGGCCCAGAGACCCAGCTGATGCTCATGATGCTCGGTTTGGGGGGGTGTTCCAACGGCAGAAAACCTCGTAAATACCGAGTGTTTTGTGGGTCCACATAAAAAACGCCCCTAAAATCGCTCATTTTACGCGCTCGAACGGCTTCGTGCCTACAAAACACCCGAACAGCAGGACCCCGAATGCCCTTAAGGGCATTCGGGGTCTTGCTTTTGGGGGTTTCGTGGGCACGCAAGCGTTCAAGCACATACAATCGGCGTGTTTAAGGGGGTTTTGGATGACCTGGGGGAGGCCGCTGATGCTCATGATGCTCCCTTTCCTGGGTCCCAAAAGGCTTCCCAAGCCCAAAAACACGTGTTTACAGCGTTTTCTGAAGGTTTTTCGAAGGCAAAACGCATGCATAGAATGCTTTTAAGGCCCCCAAACCAACCCCACTGATGCTCCTGATGCGGGTGCGCGCGCGCGCGCGCGCGCGCGCGCGCGCGGGGGGGGAGGGAGGGGTGGCGAAGGCAGGAGAAAGAGAGACAGAGAGAAGGAGAGGACAAAGACACGGGAAAGAGAAGACAGTGCCAAGGTTCAAGGTTTCGTGCTTTGGGGGGCGGGGGCCGGCCCGTGCCGCTAGGCCTGAAATTCTGCTTCGCAGAAGGCCAGAGGCCAGCAAGGCTATTCCCGGGACGACCCGGGCTAAAAGGTCCGCATTTGCTCGGTCCTTTGGGGACCTCGCGCTGCCCGATTTAATGGCTACCGCCAGTGCCGCCGACCCCCAACTCTAAACCCTAAACCCGAAACCCCAAACCCGAAACCCGCAACCCGAAACCCGAAACCGGAAACCAAACCCTAAACCGTAAACCGTAAACCCGAAACCCTCAACATGGGGGGGGTTGCGGTAGTTCAGGGTTTTTTTGATATTCAGGGCACTGGTCGTCATTGCCTCGCTGTAAATGCTGGGTCCGTGGGCTCGGGGCCCCGCTAGCATTCGCAGCGAGGCAATGTCCGCTAGTGAAGATTTTTCAGTGTCAGGGTGGAGGTTACGTATGCATATCTACTATGTATATGTGCTACATTGTACATGTATGGAGACTATTGAACGTATGTGTATGGTCTTCGAAACCTCAACCCTGAACAAACACTCAACCTTAACCTGTCAACCTTGAACCCTAAACCCTAAACCCTAAACCTTCAACCCTAAACTCTAAAACCCCTCAACTAAAGCCTGCATGGTAGTTGAAGAATGCCAAAACACCCATGAGGTGTGGGTGGTGGGAGCCATGTGGGACCATGGGTGCCAGGGGGTCGAGGGCATGGGGGCCATGGGATGCAGCGGCCGGAGGGGGTGGGGAGAGCGAGGAGGCCGGAGCGGGCAGGCATGTGGGGCCCTTTACAGTCATCTGATAGGGTCTAGGGCCATGGGGCCACGGGGGCACAGGGGGTCGAGGGCATGGGGGCCATGGGATGGAGCGGGCGGAGCGGGCGGGGAGAGCGGGGAGGGCGGAGCGGGCGGGTGGGGCCCTTTAAAGTCATGTGATAGGGCTATAGGGGCCTGGGGCCACGGGGCCATGGGAAGGGTGCATGGGGGGGGGTGTGGGTGGTAGGAGCCATGTGGGATCATCTGGGAAGGGTGCATATGGGAGAGGGGGAGGGCTGTGGGTGTTGGAGCCATGTGGGATCATGCGGCCATGAACTGGAGCCCCTTAAAAGAATGCTAAAACACCCATGAGGTGTGGGTGGATCGTGGGGCTATGAGCCATGGGTGCCAGGGCGTCGAGGGTGTGGGGGTTATGGGATGGAGCGGGCGGAGCGGGCGGAGGGGGAGGGCGGAGCGGGCGGGCATGCACTGGGTCTAGGGGCATGGGGCTGGGAAGGGTGCATGGGGGGGGGGGGGGGGGTGAGAGCGGGGAGGGCGGAGCGGGCGGGCATGCGCTGGGGCCCTTTAAAGTCATCTGATAGGGGCTAGGGGCATGGGGCCACGGGGCCATGAAAGGGTGCATGGGGGGGGGGGAGGGCGGAGCGGGCGGGCATGCACTAGGGCCCTTTAAAGTCATCTCGGGCGGAGCGGGCGGAGGGGGCGGGGAGAGCGGGCACGGGAAGGGTGCATGGGGATGGGGTGGGAGGGCGGAGCGGGCGGGCATGCACTGGGGCCCTTTCAAGTCATCTGATAGGGGCATGGGGCCACGGGGCCATGGGAAGGGTGCATGGAGGGGGAGGGTGTGTGGGTGGTGGCAGCCATGTGAGACATGGGGCCATGAGCTGAAGCCCCTAAAAGAATGCCAAAACATCCGTGAGGTGTGGGTGGTGGGAGCCATGTGGGATCATGGGGCCATGAGCCATGGGTGGCATGGGGGCCATGCGATGGACATGGGAAGGGTGCATGGGGGGGGGGGGGGGGCAGCGGAGAAAAGCGGAGCGGGCGGGCATGCACTGGGGATAGGGGCATGGGGCCACGGGGCCATGGGAAACGTGCATGGGGGGTAGGGGTGTGTGGGTGGTGGCAGCCATGTGGGATCCTGAAGCCATGAGCTGGAGCCGGGTCGAGGGCATGGAGCCGGGGTCGAGGGCATGGGGGCCATGGAATGGAGCGGGCAGCGGGGAGCGGGCGGAGGGGGCTGCATGGAGGGATGGGGTGGGGAGAGCGGGGAGGGCGGAGCGGGCGGGCATGGATTGGGGCCCTTTCAAGTCATCTGATAGGGGCATGGGGCCACGGGGCCATGGGAAAGGTGCATGGAGGGGGAGGGTGTGTGGGTGGTGGCAGTGTGAGACATGGGCCATGAGCTGGAGCCCCTAAAAGAATGCCAAAACATCCATGAGGTGTGGGTGGTGGCAGCCATGTGGGATCCTGGGGCCATGAGCTGGAGCCGGGGTCGAGGGCATGGAGGCATGGGGGCCATGCGATGGAACGGGCGGAGCGGGCGGAGTGGCGGAAAGAGCGGCAAGACTATGGGTCTTCACTAGCGCCTCCCCCGCTCAAAGCTGGGGTCGGCGGATATACATGTATATATATATATATATATACATACATACGATTTACATCATAGCAATAAATAGCAGTGATAAGGTACCTTCAGGCAACCAAGGCCATGCCGGAAAATGTGGCCAGGTGCCGGAGCGGCCAGCGCCTACGCTTCAGGAGCCGGGGCCCCCAGCGGACCCTCCGCGGACCCTGGGCTTTGGGGTGTAGGGTTTTAAGTTTAGGATTTAGGGTTTAGGGTTTAGGGTTTAGGGTTTAGGGTTTAGGGTTTAGGGTTGTGCCTGATTATTTTCTCGCTGGTGCTTGGTCTGCAGAGCCGCATGACGGGGATTGTCAGTGTTCTGGCTGTTCTGATGGGCTTTTCCCTCCTCGCATGGCTGCAAGATGACGTTGTAAGTTGCGAGCAAAAATAATCGGAGTCTTCAGAGTCTGTCAACAAGCGAGCCCACATTATTACGCATAGGCAGCCGAAGGGTCCAAGCCTACATCACTCTAACCTCTCATTCCCAAGCCGGTGAACACCGAATCGAGGGCTCCCTCAAGACTCTTTAATGTAGAAGCGATGGCTGTACTGCATGCAAGCCCCAGAGCCTTTAGGGTGCACGACCCACAGCTCCAGAAGTGTTTAAAAGAACTGAACGGAACTCCCTAAACCCTAAACCCTAAACCCTAAACCCTAAACCCTAAACCCTAAACCCTAAACCCTAAACCCTAAACCCTAAACCCTAAACCCTAAACCCTACACCCTAAACCCTAAACCCTAAACCCTAAACGAGCTCCTTGGTTTCTCGTGACAACCTCAGATCCGGATCTGTAAGGACATCACCCGCAGAGCTTCCTGTCCTGGAGGATGAGGCGCTCGGATCTCTGGGGATGGTGTCCTCCAAGGGTTTAGGGTTTAGGGTTTAGGGTTTAGGGTTTAGGGTTTAGGGTTTGCGGCTTGAGGTTTAGGGTTGAGGAATAAGGGTTTAGGGTTTAAATGCTGGTTGGGGTTGGTGTCGACTGTCCTGCATTTGAGCGAGAAATCCCTGAACCTCAAGCCGGATGAAGCCCTAAGCTCTAAACCCTAAACCGTAAACCCTAAAGCCAGAAACGCCAACCCTGATGTGCGCCCAAGCCAAGCCAAAGAGGCATGGGCCTTAAGGCACAGGGAAACATCATCCCCAGCCGACCTTAAAGCACTCCTTTTGAACATGTTTTTAAACTATTGAAAACACTCAGTGAGGTTTCGTGCTGCCAGGGAAAGAGACTCTAAACCCTAAACCCTAAACCCTAAACCCCTTTCCAGGTGCTGCGTGGCTCAGCGCCTCCGGGCGTCTCTGCCGGGAGCTTGAAGCTGCCCTGATGGGCTTTTGGGGCCTTAGAATCCCCCTCTTGCCAACCCAAGAATTTAGGGTTTAGGGTTTAGGGTTTAGGGGTTGGGGGTTAGGGGTTAGGGGTTAGGGGTTATGAGGAAAAAATTGCCCATGCAGGCAGGAATGCCTGGATGGTGCCAAAAAGCGCTTTCAGTGTCTAAACTTTATCACGTTCAAGAGGGCTGTTTTCTTGGGGGGGTTTGGCTTGGCCGTTTCTTTTTTCCTCCACCCCTCTTCTCCTGAATCTTCTTGCCAGCTGAGGTCTCGGGACCTGGTGTGTCGTCCTCCGCGCGGAACTTGGGGTTTTGGGCAGCTGCTGTTTCGGATCTCTACAGCTACGACACTGGGTTTAGGGTTTACGGTTTAGGAACCGGTAAGGGGGGGGGGGGCAGGCAAAAAAAGGGTCCGAAAACTGGCTCTGGGTGTGGGGGGAGTGACGGGGAGTGCCTGTTCTCACAACCTATACACCTTCGGCCCGAGGCCTCGGCGGATATAGACCCCCAAATAGCATAGGATTCCCACTAGAGTAAGGACCCCAATAAGTAATTCCGAATGCCCCCTTTGTGCTCAGAAGGAAGCTCTACCCTAAACCCTAAACCCTAAACCCTAAACCCTAAACCCTGAGACCACAGCTGGGGGCGGGGAGAGAGCGCAACCACCTATACCGGATCGACGATCTCGACTTTCAGCCTCTAGGTGCCAAGGACAGTTAGGGTTTAGGGTTTAGGGTTTGGGGTTTAGGGTTTAGGGTTTAGGGTTTAGGGGGTTTGGGGTTTAGGGTTTAGGGTTTAGGGTTTAGGGTTTAGGGTTTTCCGAAGACAGTGAGGACAACATTGCACCTTGACAGCGAACAGCAAGAAAAAGCCAGCGCAAAGGACCGAAATGAATGGCGCAGCAAGTTTGTGCAATTAGTAGGGACAACCAGCCTTCTCTACTACTGCGATGGTTACTTAGCAATCCGAGTGCTAGCTAAATTATAAGGACCCCAATAAGGTACCCCCCTAATTTCGGACACCCCAAATCAGGCTGCACCGCGGTCACCGAGTGAGCTGCCCGTGCCCACGGACAAGCCCTCGCCGACATCTTTGGCGGCCCCGTGGCCCAAAGCCAGGAAGTAGAACATAGGGTTTAGGGTTTTAGGGGTTAGGGGTTTAGGGTTCAGGGGGGTCGGGTTATACTTATGCGAATTGCTACCTGTATCCCCCAAAACCGTATTCGAATTTTTAAGGGGCCTACGGTATCGGGACTTCGGGAGCATGGCGCATTCGGGTTCGGCTTTTGGAGAGCTCAGAAGCATTTTGAGTGGCTTTCAGAGGACACGAGAAGGGTTTAGGGTTTAGGGTTTAGGGTCTACGGTTTAGGGTTTAGGGTTTAGGGAAACCTACACTCACACCCCATGCAAGTAAGGCTAGTTTCACGTTGAGGCTTCGGGCTTTGGGCGAGTATCATGGGCCGAAGGTCAGGATGTTCGAAGATTCGGCGTGGGTAAGGCTTGTTGAATACAAAACCCTAAACCCTAAACCCTAAACTGTTGCGGTGCCTGGCCGGGAAGGAAGGTGCAGGCCCGGTCGGCCAAACAAACAATCGCGGGCCGAGGCCTCCTGAAGCGTAACCCTGCAACCGACTGAACCGAAGAAGGCTCCGAGAAACCCTAAACCCTAAACCCTAAGCCCTAAACCCTAAACCCTAAACCCTAGCCCTAAACCCTAAACCCTTATACCCACGGGTTAAGGGGTAGCTACTGTTTTCGCAAGAAGTCATGGGCCTGTGGAGGTAACTGTTCGGGCTCAAGACTTCTTCATGAAATCGCTTTCTTTTGGGAGGCCTTTTCCAAGCATGAAATGCATGAGTGGGCGGTTTAGTGATAGCCTATGGCCATGTCAGAGCCTCTTAACATTGCAGCACCTTGCACCCTCGGGCTGAAACGCCGGAGGTGCAGCTGGAGCCACAAGTGGGCTCAGCCGTCGCCTGAACCCCAATGGTGAAGCCACTTGACACCTTCAGGGTCCTAACACAGAGAGGTGCCACTCAGAATCGTGCCCAGCACGTAAGCTTTTGTCCTAAATCAGATCTCAGAGACAGAGGTCCGACACTTTGCGTGAGATTCTTGAAGAGCTTGGGGATAATGGAATACCAGCAGCCGATCATACGCGGCGAAATGGAACTGTCATGAATGGACCGAAGGTAAATAGGCGGGGTAAGTCGGGAGCATGCTTGAACTTTAGGTTTGTGCGGTTGTAGGCTTGCATTAGCGATCCCCAAAAACCGTACTGACAGCTACTCTGCTTCAAACTACCAGCTAAAACAGTGGATGCCTTAAGTCTGTGACCCATTTAAACCCATCTAAAGCTTCCAAACAAGCCTTAATCCCTAAACCCTAAACCCTAAACCCTAAATGCCTGCTTACTAGGGTTGTAGAACAGTAGCTCGTAGTCTGTGAATCGAATTGCTAAGCTTCGCATGTGAGGCGCCACAATCCTCGGATGCAGTAGGGCGCCCAAGACCAGCTTCCGGATGGGGTTTAGGGTTTAGGGTTTAGGGTTTAGGGTTTACGGTTTAGGGTTTAGGGTGGGTTTAGGGGAACCCATCCTCAGCTCAGACCTTTGTTTGAGCGAGTGGAGAGTATCGTGTCTGCGTATCGTTCACGGGTTCCCCTACTACCCCCCTCAAAACTACCCGCCCCCCCTTGATCAAAAGGCCCCTAAACCCTAAACCCTAAACCCTAAACCCTAAACCCTAAACCCCAAACCCATGAGTTCCAGGGTCTCCAAGTGTTCCGGGTTTCACCCTTGGGGGGGGGGGGGGGGGGCTGCGCTGAAGACAATTGCAGTGTTGTACCCGGAACATGTTGAGTCTCCGGTTCCTTCAGCCAAAAGTGTATCACCAGAAGGCTCGGGGAATCCATGCGAAGCGTTCCTGGAATGTACAAAGAGCCAACAGTCCCTAGGCTTCCCGAAGCCCGAAACCCGCACTGTGAACCCCTATGTCAAAACCACATGCCCCAAACCCTGAACCCTAAACCCTAAACCCTAACCCTAAACCCTAAACCCTAAACCCTAAACCCTAAACCCTAAAACCTAAAACCTAAAACCCTAAACCCTGCCCCGGATTCCGAGGCCGCCGAATCTGCCTTGCCGAAGGTGTCCGCATCCGCCAGACTCCAAGCATCCGCAGGAATCCTTTGCACAGCCCGGCTTCAAGTTAGGGTTTAGGGTTTAGGGTTTAGGGTTTAGGGTTTAGGGTTTAGAGTTTAGGGTTTAGGGTTTAGGGTTTGGGAGTTTAGGGTGAAGGTGCTTGCGCTTCCATGAGAGAGCCTATGCCCAGCGACTTGATACTAAGACAAATCCTGGATTACAACAGTATGCCTGGCAAAATCAAGCTAGTATACAAACAGTGACGATGCTAACCCTAAACCCCAAACCCTAAACCCTAACCCTAAACCCCTCATAAATTCTCGATGGTGAGGCTCTCGACAGCTCAGCTATGATGTCCTCCGGCCAGCGCCCGAGTACGGTTGGGCCACTCCTGCAAGGGCTTTGTGTCTGTGTTTGGAGATCTCAGCTGGACTGCGAGATTTGCCTCTCTCTGTGTGTGTGTGTGTGTGTGTGTTTGTTTTTTTTGTTTGGGGGGGGGGGGGGGGGGGTTGACGGGTGCAAATTTGAAGCTCCGAAGACAGATCTCCCATACGACCCAGTAATGCTGTGTAGCCCGAAAGAGCCCTGCAGACAATGCTGTAGGGCAGTAGAGTACGGACATGTACTGTGGACTCGGATGTTCCCCCTTATGCTAGCAGTCTTAATAGGGATTATAGTAGGGGGTGCTAGAATCCCTATGGAACATCCTAAAACCCTAAGCCCTCTAAGCCCTAAACCTTAACCCCTATACCCTATACCCTAAACCCTAAACCCTAAACCCTAAACCCTAAACCCTAAACCCTAAACCCTAAACCCTAAACCCTAAACCCTAAACCCTAAACCCTAAACCCTAAACCCTCCCGAAGTGTGGACCCGCGTAGTGGCTGTGGGAAGCAGGGCCGCCCGAGTCGCCAACGGAGATGCCCGTGCCAACGGACGTGCCTGGGCGAGACCACAGTTGTAGCTTGGGATGTTCCTCATTATACGAACAGTCCTTAATAGGGATTATAGTTCCCCCTATTATAATCCCTAAGTTCCCCCTCTGATAATCCCTATTAAAAACTGTTAAGTGTAAGGGGCAACATCCCAAGTTGTAGCTGGTTGTGTGAAAATTGTCTCGAGGTGTTGAGGAGGTTTTGGAGATTCAAGGTGTCACTGTGTATAGCAGCGTGTTACCAGGAGAGTCTGCTACAAGCTCTTTACCTTGGGGCCCTGAACGCTTAATGTGTGTGTGTGTAGCCATCTCTACTCTCTCCGTCCCTTCTCGTGTCTCGGTCGGGTGGTCGGACTGCTTCCATGCCTATAAGTGTGAGTAAGGTACCAGCAAAGTAAAGCCAAGATTGAGTTGGGGGCTCTTGTGCCTTTCTTGTGAGATCCCGTCCACGGGCCTTTACGTGCTTATTGGTCTTCCAGGCGTGCTTGCGCTGTGAAAAACCGGGGTGTGGGAGTCCTCGAGGTGGCGCAGCTCTTGAAGTTTGGTCCACATGAGTCGACCTTCATTGGGGTTCGAGATCCTCTGCCTAGGTGCCGTCTCCCACGACTCCGCGCGAGGATGAAGGTTCGGAAGATGGTTTCTTGCGGTCGGAAAGTAGAAGTATTTATTTCCATCTGCACACTCCATTTCCCAAATTCCAAACCTTACAAACAAAAACGTACTGACAGACCACAAGCCGTTCAACCTCAATCCCCGCAGGTTCCCTTTGTGCCAAGGGCCAATGATTGGCAGAATGCCCTGAAGCGGGTTGAGGATCTAGGTGTTTGTGAGTTTGTGTTGAAAGTGCTATAAGGGCTTCAGTAAGGACTTTGGTTGAATTTGGTTGTACGGAATTTGTGAAGAAGCAAGCAGAGAGAGATAGAGGCAGACGAATACGAACAAGAAGAGAGACAGAGACAAACAATCAAAGAAAGAGAGAGAGAGGGAGGGAGAGAGAGAGAGAGAGAGTGTGTGTGTGTGCCTGCGTCCTGCGACGCGGAACAACTACATCGCAAACCTCCGAAAGTCGAGCCCCGAGCTTCCGGCTCCCAAATCATGGTCCCCATCATACAAGGACGGGGTCAGCCCACAACAAAAACATGCCAACGGCAACAGAAAAAACACCAACTATAATTGACCATGCTGTAACTCTTTGTTTTCTCTCTGTTCTGGCACAAGCGAGCTTTCGGGCACAATTCCGGAATTGCGTCGTCTCCCATGATACCATGAATCCCAAGCCAGGCGAAACCATCACAGCACCCACGGCCTGGGCCGTTGGAAGGGGACAGCAAGTGGGCTTCGTTAAAGACATCCTATCGGAAGTTATGGGTCGCATGAAGTGGGTTCCATTTGCCTTTTGAAAAAGTGCAGCTTGGGTTGGCCACTGGATGGTAGGAAGGCTTGAGTTTTTTGCAACTGTTAGGAGTTCTCCGGAAAGTATCGTGCTTCTGTTGGGAGATCGATTTTGAGATAAAGCTTGAGGGTTTTGTTGGAGGTATACGAGTGTTTGAGGTTTAGGTCCCCGAGGATTGAAGGCTCTTGCACAAGGAGACTCTTCTGTGCACGGGCACGTAGCAGAGTTGGCTTTCTTTGATCGAACGCCCTCGCTTAAGCGCAGAACCAGCTGAGCCAAGTCATGTCTACGCTGACAATTTCCTGGGGTTTGGCCTGCAACTTGTGGCATGTGTTGGATTGTTTGGGTTACGCCCCTAAGCCGACGCGGTGAAGCCCGTGGCTTTTGACTCTTGACAACATCTTGAGCCCTGATTGCTGAATCCACTTCAGCGACTTCCGCAAGAAGGCTCTCGTGAACAAGAGTGCGATTGAACCTGTTTCTTCTTTTTCTTCTCTTTTTCCGAGGTCGTCCCTACAGTGCAGACGCCCACGCGGACGGTGGCAGAGGTCTGGAGTCCGGTGTTGTGGCCTGGTAATCGACCCTTGAACCCCCGAGCCCTTGACAGCCTCCAACCTCAAAATCCTTACCCCTAAAACCATTAGCTGAGGTTCGTGGGCCAGTGAACTATCAGGGGGTGTGCCCTCAACATGTGGGCATTCGAGACACTGGCACACTCAAGTTGCTGAGCATCGTCTCTACCATGAGCCGAAAGATCAAGCTGCAAATGTGTCCTGATGCATTTGGGGAAACAGGTGGTTGCTGTCCACGCTGTCCTCTAACACCTCAACCCGACATTGTACTTAAGCATACACACACACACACCCACACACAAGAGCTCGCAAGCGGTAGTTTCCAAACCCGTGGCCCACAAAATTGCGCGTAAGCCACCCGTGCCCCGCACCAAGCCCAAAAGTTTCTACAAATGATCCCGGAATCATGCCCTCGCCAGGGTACAGTTCCCACTGCAGAGACACCGACGCGGACGGTCGTGGAGGCATGTTCCATTGAGGCCTTCAGGTTTGTTTCTTTTGTTGTGCTCAAGGTAGCCGCGCCAACTGCATCGCCCACACGGACAGCCGCCGAGGCGCACACCCTTAGGTGAAGGTTTTATCGAGGGCTTCAGGGTTTGAGGAGTCCGGATTCTAGGGCATCTCTGGCTGCTGGCTCTAGATACTGGCCTGCCTTGTCCATCGCCAACCATGCTGTTTGCAAAATCTGTTCACCCAGTGCCGTGTGGGAGCGTGGGAGCAAGAAGCTGCTACCGGAAGCCACTGCATCTGAAGTACCTGAACCACCTGAACTCCATGTTGCGCAAGTCAGGGAAGCATGCGGAAGGCCAACCAAAAGTGGAGCCTCAATCTGCAATGGTGGAATGGTTTCTTGTCCCTTAGCCTCTTAGCCCAAAAATCTGCACGAGGCGGTTCCCCCGACCGACACGCCTACGCGAACGGTTGTGGAGGCCACATCTCAGCTAAGGCTTGCAAAGGATTCCGGTCATTGATAGGCTTTAGCTGTGTTAGCCTTTGTTTTGTGGGCACCATATTAGAATGTTAGTGTGCCTGTATCATGAAAAGGGAGGTCGCAGCTTCAGGATTGGTCCTCCCGCTTCGGGCGCTGTCGGTGCTGAAGTGCTCCTGATAATTGTTTATTAGGGCTTAGGTGCCCCCAAGTAGATACTCCAGTCATTCATGCAACTGGCTCCTCGATGTGTTAGTTGAGAATTTCCGGATACTCCAGGTACCATTCTGTGCACATTTGCTGCAATCAGAGTGCACTGCAGCTGCTCCAGAACCATCATGCCCGGAGCCGCCCAACGACGCCAGATGAATCCAATCACCCCGAAGAAGCTTCGGCGCTGATCTTCATGAGGGCCTCTGCAGTGCCAGACTTGTAAATTCAGTAGTCCGTGGCCCCAGTTGCAGAACTCCATGATTCCCGTTCCAACGACCTCTCTTCATAACTGTCCACGAGTTCCTTGTCAACAGAAACCTAAGCATTGCCAAGTTATGTCTTCAGTTGTTGTTGATATTTGGCTTAGACTCGGACACCCGAAAAAGGATAGCATAGCTACAGGAAGTAACTGTTAACAAAGCTTGTTCTTTAGCAGGTGTGGAGCTTCGATTGCACTGCTGCATGCCTGCCCATGAACGAAGATAATCTCAAGCCTTTCAGCACTGCAAAGAAGAGGCGAAGGTTATTGGCTGCCTTGTGATGCACATAGCTCAGATCCAAAGCAGCCCTAAATCATACGCAGAGAGGCGGCCCCCACCGTGGAAACACCCACGCAGGCCAGAGGGTGGGTTGAAGCTCCAGGGTCAGTTTGCAGACAAGGACCAAAGCTGCATGCTGAACGTACATTTTCCTGTTTCCTGAACGCAAACCATCGGTGTCTAGATACCTTAAGGCAGCCGGGCGCTAAACCGCAACCCCCCTCCCCCCCCCCCCACCCCCCACCCCCTCAAGCTCTGTTTAGGGTTTAGGGTTTAGGGTGTAGGGTTTAGGGTTTAGGGTTCTCAAATCGACATACTGGGCTATCGCCTGCCGTGCGCGTGCGGCCCTTCGGCCCGTCATGGTGGGCTTATTCCGAATTCAAGGAGAGGCCCCAAAGTCACAGGTATGGCTATAAGTTATTTGAGAAGTTTGGTAACTCATGTTATGAGGTTGATGGCCATGTTATAGGTTTGGAAACTTGTCGTGAACTTACTGCTAAGTTATGAAGTTAGACCTTAGCTATGTAACTTGATTAGAAGTTACCCACAAGCTAGGTCCAAGGTATACAACTTAGCTCAAAAGCCCCAGGGCACATAAACCCTATGAACATACTAGATTGTTTGGGTTTTCTTAAGGAAGCAATGTCATTGATACCAGTAGGGATTTGCAGAATTTTCCATGGGTTTTTTGCAACCCGTATACGAGGCTCAAGACTCCTGGCATAGGAGTTATAAGTCGATAGCTTGAGGTATAACTCTGTTAACTAAGCTATAACTTGGTGGCCCCTCCTTGTATTCAGGTCAGTCAGAACCGCGGGGTTGCAAGGGCTTTAGAATCGAGTTTCGCATGATTTAGGGCAGCCATGTTGACTTAGGCATGAAGTTCGCGCCAGACGCACCTCAGTTAATCATCCCTGAACAAGAAGTTTTTGGCTCTTTGTGCGGAAAAGCTTGCACAAGCTCTGGCAATCTCCAAAGGCCAAACCCTGTAGTCCTGACACGAATGCGCTTTCAGAATGTTGCGCCCTGAAGATCCCTGAGCGCCTCAGCTGAACACTCTCACAAACCTTGCGCAGACGCGGACTGCCACGGCACGCAGTGCTCGAACGAGGGCGAGGGCTGCCCCAGAGGCAGAGGTCTTTAGCGTTCACGAAAGTTCGGGTTTATGCTTCGGGCATCATAATAAGTTGCCCCGGTGAACTTTGCCATGATTTGGAGGGCGACTGCTCAGTGACTTTGCTTGAAGCTCTGCTTGGAGGTTCATGGTACATGTTAACCAAACATAGCTGTACTTATAAACCCACTTATGAGCCCCTAAGTGCCCTAGTATGGTTATATAAGTACAGCTATAAGTACAGCTAGAATTGGCTACAGCTAGAATTGGTTCATAAGTACCATGAACCTCCAAGTCTTCCTGGTGTTACGAGCATGTCGGGGTTCGAGTGCTGAAGGCTCCGTGCCAGGATCGGTGACGAAGCGAGTAGAATAAGCAAGAAAGCTGCCGCAGACGCCCCCTACCCTAAGGGTCCGTGTACCAAGATTGGGAAGAAAGTGCTTGCGACATAGGGTATTTGGGGGGCCCAAGTATATAATATGTAATCATCAGGTACAGAATTTGACAGAGTAGATTGACTGGGCCCAGGCTTGGCTTGAAGGGCGCTTCTTGGAATCTTGGTGTCTGTATATCATGGGGGGTTTTTGTGAGCCTTAACCTCAACAGATCACTCATAGTTTCAGAGTTGAAGGTGCGGACCATGTTAACGACCAAAATGCTCCTCTTAAGGTTAGAGGCTTGGTTGTATCAGCCTGTTTGAGGGTGGGTGGTGTGGACGTGCCAAAACACAGGCTCGAAGCTACGATCTCAGGCCTTGGGGGGTTGTAGACGTTCAGGAGCTTATGGCATGTTATCCAGGATGGGCTATAGGCCCGATAATCCCCAGAATCAACCCTCTAAAGTGCCTTGTTACAAGGGGTTATAGGGTGCAAAAGCCCCCTCTCATAGCCCCCTTTTTGAAGGGGTTATAGGGTATAATAGCCCCTTGTTTTAAGGGGTTATAGGGTGCAAAAGCCCATGCTGGAATACATTGCCTTTTTTTCGCTTCACGCGCAGATCGCTCCGCCGCCAATGCGGAGGCGGCCAGCGGAGGCCTCCACTTCTTCAGTTTCTAGGTAGGCCCTGGGGACATTTTAGATATTCCCTTATTGGGTTTAAGAGGATCATGTTCAGGAGTATAAGCCCTAAACCCTAAAACCTAAACCCTAAACCCTAAACCCTAAACCCAAATTTTGTCATTAAGGGCCATCCTGGGTTTGGCTTTTTTCTTCAGGTTTCGGAGCTTGGGGTGAGGGGGCTTGAGGGACGGTTCACCAGCATGTGCTTCGCAGCTCAGTCGCCTGAGCCTTTTAGGGGTTTAGGGTTTCGGGTTTAGGGTTTCGGGTTTAGGAGCCTTGCGTCAGAATGGTTGCTCTTGGCGAACGTGCACGTTTTTTGTGAAATTCACGCAAGCAGTGCTTATTTCGCTCTTGGTGAAGGATGCTCCTTGTGATGAAGACCTCGAGCGCCCTAGCTTGTCTTGTTTGAAGGTGCCCACCGCTGAACCGGCGCAACCGGCGCTGGAGGCAGGCCGTATGGCTGACGGGACATTGTCGATGTTCTTGCACGCAAGCTTGTGGGGTTAAGTAAGGGAGTTGGTGTGAGTCGTTCAACAGAGATTCCAGGCTTTGGTTTGAGGAGTGTACTAGCTTCGGTTTGTAATTTGCAGGGTTTCAGCTTAATTTTCACAGGCCGATTCGAATCACTCTGACCGCGGTCACTGCTTGTATGAGATCAGGTTTTGCTGTATGTAAACATCAACTATATCCGGAACACTAGATCAGACAGCCAGAACCAACTTCTCAACCCAGCACGCAGTGTGTGGAGGAAGTCCCCGTGTCAGCAATACCCTCGCCCACATCGCCGGCGGAGGCTGAAGATCAAGATGTTTCGGTTCTGGCGTGCTGGTTCTTGTTTGGTGGTAAACTTTGCTTTTTGCCCACTTTGTTGGGCTCACAGGTTAATTTTCAAAACGAGCACAGCGAAGCCCAAAAAGTTCATGTGATGTCACGAGCGCACGAAAATACAAATAAGGGCCTGGGCAAGGAACCCAATTAACATGACGCTAAAGAACTTCATAAACTAGGAAGCGAAGGCATGATTTCTATGTTGTTTCTTAGAGTCTTAGAGGCCCTTATTATTGCGTCGTCCGGTTTCATATTGTGCGGCGGAAAGGATATACATATATATATATATATATGAATAAAGGCCGCAAAAAACCGATGAGAAGACAGGACAGTCATGAAGGGCAAAAGATTCATGGGATTTCGAACTGAATAAGCAGACGAATAGACGAATTCCCGATCACCTCTTATCTCACTCGTACAGGCGTGTACCAGAATACGAGTGAACTAAACCGCCCAAGAACACAGACAAAAGCAACAACCCCAAACTTCCTGGCATTTGGTATGAAGGCAATTGTAACTTCAGACAAAGAATCTATGATGGCGTTTAACGTTTAAGATCCAGGGTTTTCCTGCAGCCTTCGCCCCATCACATCGTTGCAGAGGGAAGCGAACACCGGGAGGTTCCGAAAAGAGGGGTACCGTGTTTGGGGGTTCCCATAATAAGGGTTATAGTATGGGGGAGGGGGGGGCATTAGGGGTACCCCTATTTTGATAAATGCCCTTGTAACTTGTAAGTTTCTGAACCCCAGCCATGAAGCCACCTCCCGCTATGCTCTTGCAATGCAACTTCACGCTTCTCGTTCCACGGCCCAGAGATCTGGATGAACTCAGCATTTTTGGGCCGATGCTGCCTGTATCTGACGTACAGTAGCCTTAGCACATCTCAACTTCCTTCAGTCCTGAACACATTCACGCAGCAACCAAGATATCCCAACATCCTCAGCAAGTGGGCAACCTTCAAACTACCCCAAGCCTTCCGGCAAAAAAACCCTACACCGAAACATCCTCAGTCCCTAAAGCCATAAGGGCCCCCCTCGGCCCTATCAGGATTCGGACCAGGAGGAAGCGGTCCCCATGCATGTGCCTTCCGCGGCGGCCAAGAGCTCGGAAGGTTGTTTCAATTCTCACCTAAACCCTAAACCCTAAACCCTAAACCCTAAACCCTAAACCCTAAACCCTAAACCCTAAACCCTAAACCCTAAACCGTCTTCTCCTCGCCCATCGCCCCCCAGAGTATCCCCAAGGAAGACCTGGAGTGCCCAACAATTCCCAGCGAGCTCATGGAGTGCCCTGGGGCAGTGCCCAGCCCCAAGAGTACCCCACAAGCTCTCTTCAGTGCCCAAACCAAGAGCAAAATTTAGAGTCCAAGAGGATCCCAACCCCAGAATCCCCCAAAGAATCCCTGGCTGGCACAAAGCAGTCCAGCAGCCCTAAACCCTAAACCCTAAACCCTAAACCCTAAACCCTAGCCCTAAACCCTAAACCCTAAACCCTAAACCCTAAACCCTAAACCCTAAACCCTAAACCCTAAACCCTAAACCCTAAACCCTAAACCCTAAACCCTCCCGAGTGCCCAACGCCAGTATCCCCCACAAAATCCCTGGAGCCTAAGGCGTCGGCGGCGTCAGCTCCAAGAGCTACGGCTGCTGGAGATGCAGCTGAGGCCTGGGCGCACGAGTTGTTGGTCGCTTAGGGTTTGGGGTTTAGGGTTTAGGGTTTAGGGTTTAGGGCTTAGGGTTTAGGGTTTAGGGTTTAGGGGTTTAGGGTTAGGGTTTAGGGTTTAGCTGCTGGTTTTGTGATGTTTTTTAGAGAGATCCTGGGTCGAACCCGTAGGATTTTCTGGGAGATTTACAAGTTGCGGAGTGGGGTGAACTGCGTTCCAAGCCCGAAATCCCAAAACCCCCTAGCATAAACCCCCGACAAACGTCACCCCCCTCGACACTTGGGGTCCCTAGGGTTCAGAAATCCCACAACACTACTGCTTAGGCCCATGTGGCATTTTCCCTTATGGACTTTTGTGTGGAATTTAAGAGGATCCGCTTTAGGAATGTTGCTCTCAGAGGGTTTCAAGGGCTAGGCTTAAGCCAAAACCCAAACCCCGCTTGTCGCAACAGCTCGAGGAGCCGCCGGTTCCCCTGAATGCCACTTGGCGGTGTTTTTTTTTTTTTTTGGGGGGGGGGGGGGGGGCTAGGTTTTGCTGTGGTAGGGTTCAGGGTTCAGGGTTCATTTGGGGTTTGGGGTTTGGGGTTTAGGGGTTTGGGGTTTAGGTAGAAGAGACAAGGGGGCTGAGGGGGCTTGCAGGCTGTTAGGGCCTCCCGAATTCCCCAGTCCGATAGCAACTCGATGCTTGTGGAACCCGAGCATGCCTTGGTGTTCTCAGCCCCACATCCCTTCAAAACTCCCCACGGTCAGTACGTAGGTACTACCCAAAGGCTCCTATGTAGTACCTTTTTGGGGGTAGTATACTAGAAGCCCCTGTATCTAACCCCAGAGGAACTACACTGGAGCCTTCGGGTAGAGAAGACGGCTCGGGTGAGGGCTTGTGTTTGGGGTCTTTGCGTTCGAGGTGGCCTTTGGCTTCTGTATCAGAAGCGATGATGCTATAGCTCATGCTCAGACTTGGTCAAAAGTCGGTGCGGAGAGTTTAGTTGCTGACCCACCTCCGAAAGGCTAGATCACTAACGATACTTCAACACCTAGCTTCGCATTTGGGCATGTGACCATGACAGTTTTTCTGAAGCTTACATGCAAGACCAGGTCCCAACAGAGTTCACTATAGTTCACTCATTGGCACTATTGGCAAGGTCGCTTGAATCGTTTCCGGAGGTGCCGCGTGTTGGAGGTCTTAATCCCAAATCGCCTTCCTGGAAGCTTCAGCAATGGCAGGCAGTGAGTCAGCCTCGCTCGCCGACAGCGCCTGAAATGGAGGCCATGGAGTTGTTTGTAAAGACTTCGGGTGAGCCATGGCATTCGGATTGAGTTCTGGCTGCTGGCTGGTAGTATGAGTCGAGGCTTCAAGGCTGGGCAGCAGCTTAACCGGGTTCAGCCTTGCCCCGCTCAGCCCCACTCAAGCACGTATCGGCCCGAAGGCCTGAACAAGAGTTTTACCCCCCACCCCCTTCCCTCCCCCCTCCAGATCACCCAGAGAGGGATTGGTTGAAGCCTTACGTGCTTCAGGATGTGTTGGATCTTGGCGACAGTGGATGCGTGAGCAGTTGGGTGGTGGAGGGGCTAAAGTGACTGCGACGAATGGGTCCATCATGTGGAGAAGTCGTGGTGCACGAAAACCCATTTGGGGGTTTCCGAAAGCAAGGGACCCTGTAAAAATCCCCCAAATAGTAGGATTCCCTTATTTTAAGGACCCCAAAGTGCCCCGAATTCCGCAAAACCCATCTGAAACCCCGCGCCGAAATGAGCCTCGGGGCAGGTGCCGACGGACGTGCCTTCGCCGACTTCTCCAGCAGCCGTGGGCCCATTTGGGGGTTTCTTGGGGATCCAATTATTTGGGGGGCCTATGATATATAGATTTCGTAAACTCCCGTTGGAGACTTACTTTGAGGTTTCTTACGGTCACTGCATCAACTTTGGGGGCTTCATGCCTTAAGAGGGAATGGTCTGTGGAGTTTCAAGTAGGCTCAGCCTGATGTGAGAAGATGAGGACCTTGACCACCAAGAAGTCCCAACGATGCCGACCGCAGAGCCAACGTTGCTCCCCTACGAGGACTCGCCCTTGGCAGCTTTCGGGGGGAACTCCTGGTGTGGGCTTTTCAGGCTTTGGCCGCTGTAAGTTTAAGGATTATTCGGGCTTCACAACACGTTGCACATCGTTGCCCAGTGATGTGTGGTCATCTCAACGGCTGAAGCGTTGACAGCCACAAACCTTCAGCTCGAGGCTTAGGGTCTCTACCGTGACACTTAAGTCAAGGCTGTTTTGATGTCAGGAGTTGGGGTGTAGGCGGTGTAGGTGAGGAGACAGGGTCAAGGCAAAAAAAGTCTCGAAGTTCTGCAGCCGAAAGGTGTTAATTATTCGCTATTTTGAGTTTGACTCACGCAAGCATGCAACCGCTGGTGCTGTTCCTTCGCCAGAACAACCGGCATGGCTCCCCAACACTGCAGGAATATGAGCTCTCAGAAGTTCACGAAACTCGACCAAACCGGCTTAATAAACCACTGCACTCACTTGCGATGGAAAACTCGGACAGCTTAGAGCCTGGCGCTTGAAACGCGAGGAGTCGGCTGTCGCGCCCACTTCGCCGGCCTCGCCCTTGGCAGAGGACGCGTGGGCCGCGTAACTACCCCCATCAGGCACCACTCCCATAGCCTCACATCCGAACCCCTGAGCCGCCATAGCCCCTTCAGACCAACGCACGAAGCAGGGTTATTGGCCCATGCTTACAGCTGTATCCCCTTGCTCACCCCCGTGATTCCAGGATCAGGCGTTGGAGGGACCGCCCGGGCAGGAGACGGCTTGACTTTTCAGTGCTCGGGTTTGGGGGGTTAAGTTCAGCAGCATGGCTTATGGATGGGATCATCTTGTTGCATCTTACGCATTTCTTGGCTCCGATTGTACGGCATGGGTGGTTTCATTTTGATATTCAGGGCTAACGTAGCGTATGCCGAACTCTGATCCCGAAAGCCTTCAACTCTTCATTCACAGCCGAGTGATGACATAAAACCTCCAAACCAATGAAACCTACAGAGACTCCCAAAGCGTTGGAACCCCTAATCTTACTCATTCCCTTGTATTACCCCTACATATAATATTATATATATATATATATACATATACACCTTATATATATACATACACCTTATATCGCCCCCAAATAACCAACACGGACCCCCCCTCCCGATCCAGGATCTCCGGCCATGGAAGCGCCGCAAGCAGCGCCAGGACAGGATTCTTCTGACAGGAAGCCCCCTAATTGCCGCAAGTGTCGCAGGACTGTCATTGTAGTTCTCTAAGGGTGCCAAGGGGTTTCTGGTCAGGATGCGATTGTGAGCTTGGTGTCGGGGCATTAAGCACTCTACGCCGCGAAGATGTGACACAGAGGCGGATATGAGCTGATCACTCACCGGTACCTGCCAAGTGACACGTGAAGTTGTACATCGTGATTGCTGCGCGTTGTTTCCATCTTCGCTCGTGTTCACGCTGACTGCGCGCTTGCGGTTGCTTTCGTCAACATCCTGTCTTGCCTGTGTCACATCAGGCCAGGTCCCTTGCACACGTGCCTCAACGCCACGAAAGCACGCAGACGCACGGAGTTCCTGGATTTCTGAACCTTCCCAAAGACCACCCAAGGAGGTAGCTGGGCCAAGCACACCCACTCGCCGGCGATGGAGTGCGCCTCCGCAGGGGCACCTGGAAGATCTGAATGGCATCGGGCTTTCGGGGAATCGGGTTTGAGATGCATTGTGCAGTTGAAGGGCTGCCAGAGCTTAGGGCTACGACGTTGGATGTTGGGGTGCAACTTGTAAGGTTGTGTAAGGTCGTGCAGCTTGGGGTTTTCAGGTGTTTCGGCTTGTTTGTTGCTCTCTTGATTTTTCTACTGACCTTACAAGCCCTTAAGGTCTTGATCACCCAACAAGCAGACGTCCGCACTTCAGGATTTTTCGTGCCAAGGAGCGTGATAGTATGAACTTCTCGTGGACCCAATCTAGGCACTTTCAGGCCCAACATCTAGAGTCCGGTGCTTGGGCTTTTCGGTACCCGCGTCTTTGTTCAGCAGAAGCAGTACGAAACACCTTCGACTAGACACAACTAGGCTCCATGCAGGGTGGTCAACACATGTCATGTATCTGCCCTAACCCTAAACCCTAAACCCTAAACCCTACAAGCATCATCCCTCAGCCTCAAAAGTCAGAAGCCAAGCCCTAAACCCTAAACCCCCCAAGCCCCGGCATTCGGCATGGAGCCCTTAACCTTTGCTTGAGAACTAGTCCCAAGAGCCGTAAGAACAAGTAAGAGCAAGAAGAACTGACAAGAAGCCAAAGCCCTCAAAGAGCTGTGTGCGTCCCAGGGTGCCTGGCACGCCCACGGAGGAAGGAGTCGAGCGCACCCCCACCGAGGATGTCTTGCTGCTGCCACCCCAGGCTCGCGCCGAGGGACAAGGAGGGTTTTGGCTCAAGGCTTGGCATTTCATGCTTTCCGAAATAGGGATACCCTTTTTGGGGGGGGCCCTTTCAGGTCTTTTTGGGGTATACAGGGGTGCCCCCATTTTGGGGGATGCTCCTTTGGGGTTCAGGTTTGAAGACTTGTAAAGTTCGCTCCGAGGTTGCTACGAATTGCTTAAGAGCCCCCCCCCCCCCCCCCCACAAAAAAAAATAAAAAGGTTCTTCCTTATAAGGGTAGTATAGGGAATATGTTTTTTTTTGGGAGGGTTCTGAAGCAAATAGTAGACGAGGCGTCAGGGTTGAGGGCTCATGCTGCAATGAATCGACACACCGTAGATCCCAACAGGCCAAGGTTCCGGCATGTTGTTTTGTGACTGCACGTTTGGCCCCGACTGGCATGCCTTCCGGATAGTAAGACTCGCAGCGTCCTGCCCCGCTTCGCATAGAAGCTTTGTGTTTGCTGTCCTGTGACGGTCACACCGCAGCGGACTTGGAGGGCCTTGGGTAAGCAGCCAAAAATCTGCAGGTCGGGCCTGACCTGCTATTGGGCACTTTGTATTGCACCTTCCTCTGCTAACTTTCCGGCTCATGTCACTTTCTTTTTCCCTGCTTTTTTGTTCTGGGTTGTACACCTTTGGCGAATGTACTTCATTGCCCAACCCCTGAACACAATAACGAGACCGTATCAACATGCCTGGCCAAGCCCAAAACCCTGCTAAGAGAAAGCCTCCACACGAACATTCAAAGTCCCATCCGCCACAGGGAAGAGTCGGCTCTGCCGCACGGTGCGATGCCGCCTCTAAGGGAGGGCCAGGGACGGGGGGCCGTGAGGGACCCGCACTTCGGGGGAGTTGTGGCTTTTCTGCTTCAGGTTCTGGACTGTCTTTGGGCACCTAGGGACGCAAATTACTCGTAGGGTTCAGAGTTGTAAGGCTGGTTTGCAGAGCTCTCCAGTTTGGGGGGTTCAGCGTTGTACCAGGGGCACGGCTTGCAACTTGATGGTATTTCATCTGGTTTGGGGTGTGAGGCGTCTGTGTGGTGTAAACACAGTTTGGGGCAAACCCTGACTCCTCGCCCTAAGACCTTGCCTTCTCAGGGAGCAACAAACCCAAAACAAGCCTCAAACCAAACATGTACCAGGCAACCTGGGAACACTAGACGCTTACCTAGCTCGCTACCTTGACGTCTTCAGTGCTCATAGGTTTCCACTGCCTGTGCCTCTTCTGATGCAGCCTCAAGCGGACACGCTCCCCAGGCAACGGCCCAACAAGCCATCTGCAAAGCATTGCACAAGTCAGCTGGAATTGTTTCTCTAGGGCTAGGGTTGCAGTGTTTGGCTGGACACTCCAGGCAGAGGACCTTTCTGGGTTTCCGCAGGTCTTCCCCGTTTTCCCGTGTAGTGGCTGTAGGGGGTGTACGCCAAGCGCCAATCTAACAACACTCCACGACCGAGTCTTGCGCAGCATTGTGGCATTCAACCCCATGGCGGGTACTTCGCCCTCCTCGACCATGCAACGTCTCGAGGAGGACTTTCATATTGTCAGGAGGACGGCAGGGGGGGCTTCCGTTTGTCACCCTGGCCTTGTGAAGGGCTACAAATGCCCTGACCTGCATGGGCTAGTATACCCTATCACCCTTAAAAAAGAGGCTAGTATACCCTTTCACCCCTTAGAAAGGCCCTTCGTAGGGTTGGTTAGGGGGATTGTAAGGCCTAATGGCCCATGCTGGGAGCCATGCTGACTCAGTAAGCCCCTGCGCCAAACCCAGATCTGCCATGCTCTTCTGGCGCTAGAAGGACCAGACTCCAACAGGCTTTCTGCCCCAAACTGTAGCAGGGATTGAGCCTGCCTTTAGGGACAAGAAGCCCTTAACGGCTCTCAGCAAAGTGCCCCCACCATTCCGTGCTTGTTCGATGGCCTGGAATCCTGCCGGAACCCTACATCTTGCGCCTACCCACACCCACTTTCAGCCCGGAGCCCCAACCTGTATCAAACTTTCAACCCCTGAAAATGCGCAAGCTGAGCTTCTGGTCTAAGCCCTACAAATTTGTTCCAACTCAACTTTAGGGCTTCGGAATTTCAGGGGCGGCGGTGGGAGCTCGAACTTCAGGATTCACTTCTTTGAGGGGTTTAAAAGTCGACCACTGAAGAATGTGCGAGTCCAAGCGATAACAGATTCCGGCTGCAAGGAGCTATCCTGATGTAGCCCGGAGCATGAGCACTTCGTCGTGCCTTGCCCGCAGATGCTGTGGTTCCTTAGCCTTGTTTGGGTTTACGCCTAAGCCTTGCGGAGTTTCGGGGTTTCTGGGCTCCGGTCATGCGGGGGTTGGCGCATTGTATAATCGCAGCGAGTATCTCCACATGTCGCTTTAACTCATTCCATTCCGCATAGTCCCAAGGCCATATGTTTGCTCTTGAACGCATAGCATGATGAATCTGTGTACGCATATATCAGATATCGGAGACAGTCGTTGATGCGCGTGGTTTGCGGGAACTTATGCAGAGAAGACAAATCGATGTTATTCCGGGGGGCCAACTGTTCACTTGGTTACTCAGCTTGCGCAATCCCGGAACCAGGATCTTGCTTGAGGTCAACATCTCTTCAGGCATATTTAGGACTTGCACCCTCTGCCTCTAGTCACCCATGAGCAGCTCCAATGCCACGACACCAAGCCCTGCGCAAGCCCCCCTTCAAACACTTTCCAGGGGCTTTGCTTAGAACCTGAAAAAAAACAGAAACTAACAAAACAAAAGAAACGAGAAAGTCCTGCAAAGGCCTTTGCTCCGAAGCCTTGCCTCTGGCCGCACTGAACCAGACCGGAACTCTAACCCAAGCCCCTCGGAGTCTCAAGCCTTCCCTCGCGCAGGAATCTTTCCACCCCGAAGTTGCCCAAGTCCGAGAAAGATTTTCAGCCAGGGAGGCAGAGGTTTGGGGTTTGGGGTTTAGGGTTTCGGGTTTCGGGTTTTCCGGGCATTTGGGAGAAGGGTGGGGGGTATGGGTCGGGGACTTGGCTGTGAGGGCTTATGTTAGGCGGCATTGCATCTTGTGAGGGCCTTGTCGCAGGGTTGCATGAGATGGTGCAGGGAGGGCAGAGTTCTAACGTGTTGAACAAAATCGCTTCACGGCTTCGGGTGACCTGGGCAGCAAGGGCTCTGCTTCAAGAGGCGCATGTGGCAGTTGACGAGTTGTGGGCTGAATGTCTTACACTCAATTCAGGCCTCAATTCAGCATGGCATGAGACCGATGGAAATACTGCTGGAGACAATAGCAAACTTAGACTCCGCTTGCAGTGGGGAGGGGCTGCTGATGGACAAGGGCCACACAACACAGACGTGCCAGACATGTCAGACAGACAGAGACAGTCGAACAGTGGGAGAAAAAGAGTTCATTGCATTCCGACGGTGTCAAGGGCAGGCCAAAGAGCGATCCCATTGGGCCATTGGCAGTCCAATGTCAAAACCAGGAGGCGTAGCGGCGTAGCCTCACACGCCGATCTCGCAGATGAGATGAGTACACCACACAAGCGATCGAAACATTCGAGACAAGTTGTCCGGGCATTTGAGAGATACTAGGTTACGAGACCACGTCGACAAGCGGTTTCGAAGCCCATCTTGCCCAGCTGAGCAGTGCGGCCTTCAAGTGCGAGACAACAGGTCGACAAGCGGAGATCCAGGGATCATCGTGGTTGTAGTTGTAGAACTCTTCGCCGGCAAGTGGAGGAGACGAGAAGACAATGGAAGACAATCTGTTGACGAATAAGTAAAGGGCAGAGGATGTTGAGAGTCCGCCAGCCCAGCCCAGAGGCTACCCTATTCCAACCACCCGTACCCCCCCTCCCCCATTGCGGCAGTCCACCGTACCTCCACCGGCCTTGCGGCCATGTTGATTCATGACATGAGATGAGACGGAGTGGCTCACATGCCGGTAAACCTGTTGAGTAAACAATCCCTCCACCCCCTAGGCCCCCTGGATAGGCCCGCCCTTGTTTGTCGAAACGCCAAAGCTTCGCTACGCTGCGCTGTTCGGGAACAAACTTGAATGGACCCTTTACACCTGGACTTCAGCTTCTAAAATAACCAGTTTCTCTCACTGAATGCCCAGCCCGAGATGCGCCCTGCCAGGCTCGGTGAGCGATTCGCAGTTGGCCAAGGAGGGGGGTCAGGGGCCATTGTTTGTCTTATCGACAGCTTGTCGGGGTTGGTAGCTTAAGGGTTCAAAATCTTTAGGTCACTTTGGGAAGCATGGGTCCTAGATGGAATTGCATGCTTGGTTGGGGCTTCAACCAGACCCAGCCACCAAAATCTCATATACCCACCCCCCCCCCCCTCAGCCTTACCCCAAGTCCTCTACCTGGTTCTTCCGTTCTGCCTGAAGGCCGCCCGGCAACAGCCAGCACCTCACCGACCGAGCAGTTGCTTGGCCAGGTCTGAGGTGGAGCGCTGAACAAAGGGTTTAGGGTTTAGGGTATAGGGTTTAGGGCAAAGTCCCCGCCTTTGGCGACTTTCCTTCCTCAGAAAACACACCCTAAGCACATTTCTGTTTGGGTTTGAACGCTTAGTTGAATCGTCAACACTTTTCTGACTTCTCTCGTAATGTTCTAAGACCCGATATCAGGTGTGTTCGAGAATTCGTGCGTGGCAGCAAGTTGCTGCTTTCAGGGGACGACTCAACTCCAGGAAGCTCTAGCTCGAAGGCCTCTGTTCCTGAACAAATCTGCGACACGCATTCTTCGAGTAGTATAGAGTTCTATCGACCCAAAAGCCCCGGCGCACTCAAAAGAAGGGCGGTGCAATCAAGGCCCAAGCTCGCAGAAGATGTCAAGATGCGCCTGGAGCGCTTGGAGACATTGCAGCGCGCAGCCATCACAGAGGCAAGCTCGCAGAAGGAGGCACAACAGGGTCTCGAGTCCAGAGCTCACAGTGCGGCTTACCTACATGGGCCATTATACCCTACAACCCCTTAAAAAGGCCCTTTATAGGGTCGGGTAGGGGGATTATACGGCCTGATAGCCCATGCTGGTAGGGCTTTAGGAACCTGTGAGCCCCTGACCGCACTCACCCCTGCACATATCCACTGCTGCAACAAATTCTCTCAGTTTTTCAATGTTGGACAGCCTTGCACCTTGAAAGCGACACATGCCTCAAGCCTCGTCTTCCGCCTGCCCACTGTCCAAGCTACCGGCAGCTGCAAACACCCCTAACTTCGAAGCCACGGAGCATCTGTTGCAAAAGCCCTGTATGCCTGCGCAAATTCCCAAAGAGCCCAATACCCCCTTAATTAAGGAATATTCCTTGAACCACAATCAGGATCCCTTTATCATTTAAGCTATACGTTCCTGAAATCATATTAATAAAGGATCCCTTGATAATTGAAGCTATCTGCTCCTTAATTAAGGGGTATTGGGGCTCTCTGGGTTGCTTCCAATGTGAGCAGGAAAGCCTGGCACTCGCTTCGGCCGTCTCCGAGCTCCGCGTGGACCTCGCCGAGTTGCGCCGGGAAATGTCAGGCGCTGGGCTCGATTCGAAAGAAGGGGGCTCCAGATGGTTTGCAAGCGTTTAGGGTTTACAGTTTAGGGTTTGGGGTTTAGGGTTTAGGGTTGGCACGGCCTTATCCTGAGAGGCGTTGTCCATCTTAGGCGCTCAAGATTGTTGCTACAATTGTTGCTGTTGAACTTTTGCTGCTGCCTGCGCCGCCCGCCGCCGCCGTTGTGATTCTCGAAATCTAGGGGTTGCCATCCCAAACGGCTCTCGACAGCTCAGAAACGGCTCCAAACAGCTGCGCAAGG